CTTGTATGTTTCAGCAGTTAAAGGGGCTCTTGAAATGAAGTTGGTAACCTACATGGAAACTGGCATAGTGAAGGGGCATGTGGGTTAATTTGTGCACAGTTGCTATGGTCAGATTGTCTGCCTGTTGATGGAAAAGCACTAGTAAAGGTGGAAACAAAGTTAAAGGTGGGGGCAAGATCTCCCACTTTGCAAGCTAATCCTCTGGCTTTTAAGAGTTGACCAGACAGTTTAGCACATTTGAGTCTTTAGTACTAGTCTTCAGAAAAGTAAGATATTGATTCCTCCCCATTTACCTAGTTCAACTCAGTAATTGTAGACTCAAGCTGTAATTATGTTATGCAGAAGTAATGCCTTACATGTGCATTACTTCAGTTGTGATGCATGCAGCTTATAAGACTCCCTGAACATTTCCTTGTCTTGCAACTAACATTCCTAATACATTAGAACAACCATATTGCCAAAACAGATTAAAATAGTAATAATATTCTGAGCATATGTAGTTTTGCATTTAAAATTCACTTAAATCATAACATCACCATGAACAGAGGAAGAAAATGGAGTTTATTTCTGTGGCCCTCATCACCTACTGCTCTCTGAGTGCTCATTTAGTTCCCCATTTGTAGCCAATTTTGGTGCTAACCTCTATGCCTAGTTGCACCACCAGGGGCAACAACAGCAAGACAGCCTAATACTCCTATTCACGTTTTTGCAGATGCTGCATTTTTGAGTTGTTTCATACACTGTAGGCAATGACAACTTCCTGTGGTTTGATCTTGCCATCTTTTCTCTCAGATCTGAAAAGGGATGTATGTACAATGCCTTGACCAGTCTTTGTTTCTGGTGTACAAGTATAGCTTGTATTGCAGAAGCATGCAATGAAAAATGATCAATTGGAGCAGAGCAGGTAGCAACATTGGTGGGTGGGGGTTAGCTTAGAAGAAAGCTGAGGAAAGGGTGATTTGATAGAAGTATGGAATTGTGCTTGGTGTGGAGAAAGTGGATAGGGGAAAAAATACTCATAATGCAAGAACCTGGGGTCTTCCCATGAAGCTAAAGAGTGGGAAGATTCTGGACCAGCAAAATGGTATTTGTTTACAAATCACATATTATGGATTTCAGTACCACAGGTGTGTCCTAGGTCAAATAAAGCCTGAGCTTTCCCTAGAAGTGAAAATGGCAAAACTGAGGCTGTCATACTGTGGGGATGCCATGAGAAGGCAAAACCCCCTGGAGAAAACAATCATGCTAGGGAAAGTTGCAGGTAGAAGAATAGAAGGAAGATCAAATATGAGATGAAATGACTCCATAAAGGATGCCACAGCCCGGAATTTACAAGAGCTGAGCATGGCTGTCATGTATAGGGCATTTTGGAGATCTTTCATTCATAGTGGTGTGTGGTGGTTAGAGTGTTGGATCCAGGAGAGGCTGCACTTGGCCACGAAGCTCATTGGGTGACTGGGCCAGGCACTTGCTCTCTCTCCAACCTGCATCACAGGATTGTTGTTGTGAGGTTAAGTCTGAAAGGAGGAGGAGAATTATGTAAGCTGCCTTGAGTTGCTTGAAAGGAAAAAAGGTGGAACACAAACATAACTTAAATGATGGCACGTAACTTCAACAAGATAGAAAGATACAGCCAACAACGTCAGTAACTTTAATTGATACAGCTATCTGAGGATTATAACCATGGTTGCTGTTCACCACCTCCAGTACCAAAGACAGTATGTCAGCAAATCCCAGCTGCTGGGAACATAAGGAGAAAGGTGTTCCTCTCTTCATGTCCTGCTTATACCTTATAGGCATTTGGTTGGCCACTAGGGAAGCAAAACACTAGACCAGATAGACCCTTGGACTGGTTGAGCACTGCTCTTTTTACGCCTATCACCCACTGAGAAAATGTAGGAGATAATTTGGGTGAGCAGGTTGTTCAGAGAATTTGTAACACCTCCGTCCTCCTTGTTGGCATTAGGTTCTGAGCTGGGATACTCCCTAGCAGGGGCCCCGCACGCACCGCAGGTTTCACGGATCACTGGGATTTAACTCAAAATACCCGGCGCGCTCCCCGCCTCCTCTGCAAGAACAGCCTAGCGAAACTGGCTCAGGAAGTTTGTTGTGAAACCAGTAAAATATACCGGAAACGCAAGCCGTGAATATTATTAGGAGCCTACAGAGTATTTATGGAAATGAGCATGATTTTGCTTCATACTATAAATCCTGCAAGGGAAGCGTCTGTGCCAAGTGGGAGTTCAGAAGAGCGTACACGCCATTCTTTTGCGACCCTACAAAAAGACCACGATGCCTTAATTCTCTGATAACTTGAGGCTGCCTTTTGAAGCTACTTAATGCAGATGCCTTGCCCTTTCGCAACTTTTCGGCGAGCATTCCGGGTACTCGGTAGCGGGCAGTATGTTATCCACCTTTTCAAAGTGTGTCCCACCCGCAGTTCAATGGGGAGACTAATTTGGGTGGTTGTGGAGTCACGGGCTCAATTCACGCTCCAAGGCGACCGCGCCTTTTTTCCCTTCAGCCCTGGGCAACCCGGATCCCTCCCGGCAACAGCGCTCCCTTGCGGCCGGGCTGGGCTGCCCGCTCAGCGCTAAACCTTCGACCTGACGGGCCCTAAAGGCGGCCGCCACACGTCTCCCTTTGCACCCCCCTCGGCTGTGCCCAGAGCCACGTGGCCCCAGCTGGACGCTGGACCTCGGAGGGTGGGAACGAGAGAGTGAGGATGGCCCAGCTGCAAAGGAGTGCAGCCTTCAGTCTCCCTTCCTCTCTTCTGCACTCCTCTCGTGAGGCCGAGAGCGGTCGAGGGAGCCCCGGGCGCCTTGCCTGAGCACCCTCGGAAAGCCCCAGGTCCAGGCGCGCCGCGCCGCGCGAGGAGGCGCACGCCCCTTTCCCGGGGCGAAGTAACTCAGGGCCCTCCGCGGCTGCCCAACTGGCGCCCCGCCCGCTTTTGCAAGGCGCCGCTGCAGCCTCTAGCACTGTTTACAGTTGCTGTAGCTACGGCGGCTGCCCTCGTCCTCTCCGTCCTAGGTCTGCTCGAAGGAGTTCGCCGCTTCTTGCAAGTCCAGGGCGGTTTCACACCGCTGGCAAAATCCAGAAAGTCGTAGTGAGTCGGAGGGAAGGAGCTTTGCAGGGAGAGGGGAGTGGGGTGGGCACAGCAATCCCTGTTCTCCTCGGGGTTTATTAACATAATTCGTAATAGGCATGAGGCACAGTCACGATGATCTCCAGAAAAGCTCTCTGGGTGTCTGATAATATTCCCTAATATCCTTTTCTAAGGATTCTGGATCTCATTTATTGTTCAGTTCTTTTTGTCTCTTCCCTAACGCTGCAATCTTCTTCACCTTTTTTATCTGGTTTTGGATTCAGCCATTGTGCTTAATGCTTAAGAATGCGGGGCAAATTGAGTTGTTGATTGATTAAAGAAGCTCTGTATGTCAGCTATGCAGTCTTCACCCAGTAGTATCTTAACAGCAAGCCAAACACTGCACTCCTGTGCGTGTTTAGGCTGAAAATGTTGTGTTGACTTGTTCCCACGTGCACACACCATTGCAGGACAGAAGTACAATCCTATGCATCTCTACCCAGAAGTAAATCCTACTGAGTTTAACTGGAAGTACTTCCAGGTATCTTGAGTATAGTACTGTAGACAGTAATGTAACAAAGCCCTTCAGAAGAGATGGGGTTCAACATCATGGATAGCTCCTGAAAAGTTTGGATTGTAAAGTGGAGTGGAAGCACCACCCCACTGGCATTGGAGGCATCAGTGATTCTCCAGCCTACATCTCCCATCAACCCTTGGCTAAGCTGGCTACAACTAATGGTAGTTATAGGATAAAATATCTGAAGGTTGTCCAGCTTTGTTGTAAACTCTAGCCCATGAAAGTGCATGCTGCCATCAGTGTTTCAGTGTTAAAGTGCTTCAACGCTTTTGATCCTTTTCCAGGTTAAAATTCTTCCAGTAGCAACCAGTGTGGTGGTATGTACAACATCATTTGGTCTCCATTATGAAGTGGTGACTAAGGACAGGAAGGGTCTGCACACTTGACCAACATTATCAAATGGTGATGAAGTCTATGTGTATATATGTGAGGAGGGTGCTTCTGCAGCCTGCTCCTCCAAAGGCCTCTAGTAACATGATTAGTCTGTACCAAAAGAATTGCTGTTGGATTTAACACAAAATCACCACTGTCTTTATAGAACCAAGCATGTAGAGTACCTTGGCTCACAAACTTAATCTGTTCCAGGACTCTGGTCGTGACCCAAATTGGTCATGAGCCAAGTCAAATTTCCCCATAAGGTTCAATGTAAATAAGGTTAATCCGTTCTGTAACTATTTTTTTAAATCACAAAAATTTGAAGGGTGGGGGGAGGCAGGCGTGATCACGATCGCCACCTGATGCGGAGTTCGCAACACAAGGCAAAATTTTTCAGAAATTTCTGTTCGTGACCCAATTTGGTCGTGAGCTGAGCTGTTCATAAGCCTAGGTACCACTGCACTTATTCATAGGAAGTCTGAGAGAAATAATTGCTTGGATTACTGACATTCAAGATTTTCTCTTTCCTTTGCATCCTCACACTTCACCCTTCCTCTCTTTCCCCCATCAAATGCTATATTCCATAGAAGGTAGAATAAAGGAATGCAAGTGGAACAGACTAATCTCTCCCAATTTATGTCAAACACTCTAGCCTGCAGGCTCCACTGACTTAGTTGTGCTCCGAACACTGGTGAAAGTCATTGGTTCCAATATATTTGGGACTCGGAATTGTATCTTATAAACAATAGTTGCTCTTCAGTCTGAATTTCCTGTCTCTGAAACCCTCAACATGAACTTTGGTAAGGATGACAAAGAAGTAGAAGCACCTCAGAAACTATATGTAGATTATTAAATGATCGCTATTTAGCTATTTGTGGCCTGACTATTGCATATTTTTCTTGTTCTTATGGAAGAAAGAATTTCATCCTTCAGTGTAAAAACAGAACATTTCCAAAATGAAGGATGGTAGGCTCCGTTGCAAAGAGATTTCCTTGTTCTCAGCTCCATTCATTGTATATTCTTAAGAAGGATTCTGAAAGGTGGCAAATGGATGCAGATACTTCCAAGAATGAAGACTGTACAACTCAGCAGGCTGCAAAAGTTTCACCAGGACAGCCATCAACACATAGCACAACTGATGAAAACATGGTCCCTTCAGGCTGGGTAAACAGTACAAATGACTCCAGCTCTGAACTGTTGACATCTGTGCATGCTTCCTCAATCAGCAATATGTTGGGAAGGGAAGGTGACCTGGGCTACCCTCAAGCCTTTCTGAATGCTAAGCCACTGCATTATGTGGCCAACTTTATTCCTGCTCCTCATTTATTACCACCAACTCAGGCAGAAGTATTCCCTGCCAGGAAAAATGATGAAACCATGAAGATCCCAAGGTCTGCAGCAGCAGCAGCAGTAGCTGCTCCTTTGACAACTCAGGAAGGCATAGTCTATCAAACGAAGGAACAGGTGAGTCTGTACTCTCTTTAGAATACCTTGCATTCATTATGACTCAGATCCTGCAATGACTACACATCCTGCTGAGCAGCGGCTCTGATGATGAGATAAGAGTCTATTTAAAATGAGAACTAGAGGCTGCAATGGCAAATGCTACAGAATAAAACATAAAGCTTCCTTTGAGGTTGAAGCTGTGCCACTCTAGCCATTTTTCATATGCTGAGCATGGTGGTTAGCTGAGAGAAACAGCCAGCAGGGGCTGGTTAGCCGTGTGTACTGGCTCTGGGATGGGCACTCTGTGGCCCCTGGTGTGGCAAAAGCAACAGGAGTCTGTGTGCTGTAGGTTATAGAGTGTTAGACAGGAGAGGCCTGGATTCAAGGCCTTTGTCTGCCATCAAACTCATTGGGTGACCTTGAGCCAGCTGGGAGCTCTCAACATAGTGGATCTTGTGAGGCTGTTGTAAAAGTGAAAATGGAATAGCCTTGGAAGGGCAGAATACAAATGTGGAAAAGTAACTACCTGAGTCATTTGGGCATTATCTTTCTCCTCTTCTTGTGTATTCTCCATTTCCCTCATTTCTCTCTTCTTGTGCTTCATGTCATTCCCTAAATTTTGCCCAAGTTCATCTTTTTCTACAGTACAGGATTATGTTGCCTTTACAGTAATTTTTCCACCACAGGAAACCTAAACAATTAATGGGGAACAAGAGCTGGAAGGACCCAGTACTCCTCCATCCTGCTTGTGGGCTTCCTAGAGGTATCTGGCTGAGAACTGGTTTGGTCTTTGGTTTCATCCAGCAGGCCACTCTTAAATTCTTCTTCTTGGGAAATGTAGCTTTGTGACAGAGGCTGGGGAATCTTTAATAAAACTATCCGGGCTCTTGTGAAATTCAACAACTCTGAGGATTCTCTGTAGGAAACCATGGTCTCTTTTGGTATCCCAACTTTTTAATCTGACTTTGCCCTCATCTCTCCCCTCTTCTGTATCTTAAATCCTTGACTTGTCTAGTGTGAATTGTAGGTCTGCTGGAATATTATGTCACCTTAGTCTCCTGCATAGGATTTCTAGTCTACTACCAGTTATCCAAAGCACTCATTCACAGGACAGCTTCTGTTTCCCTGTGACTATCCCAAGTCCTATTGCTTTCAGTAGGGATTGCTTTTGTTCAGCTTTTGCTGGATTGTACTTGGTTGTGCTTGTTGTCTTCTGTTTTCAGATTCCAGGGGAGCAAGAACAGATAATGAGGGTTCAGATGGAGCAACTGCAACGGCTAGTAACTGAACAGCAGAAAATTATTACATTCTATAATCCAGGTACTGCAGGAAATGCTCTCTAATTATGTTTTCTTGCAGCAAATTGCATTATTTCTTATATACTTTCAGAAGGCTGTAAAATGACCAAAGGTAGCCGACTCATCTTTACCAAGAACATTGACTTTTAAACTCCTCAGAAAGTAGCAGGACTGATGCCACAAGGGATTTCAGGTAGAGAGAATAGATGACAGGTATTTGTGACATGAGTGGTATCTGCAAACAGTGTTTTGGTTTTATGTATGCAGACAATTTTAATGTCTGTGGAAATGTCACATGCCAAATATATATTTCTGCTGTTTGATGGCAGATGGGGGTGGGATAGTTTCACTGTGTGTGCATTTAGGAGTACACTTAAGAAAGAATACAGGGCAAAGATAGGTAGCTCCTATGGTACTGAGGGCTAAAAGGATATTGCTGCTGGTATGTGGGCAACATTCTGCTCAGATTTCCAGCCAAGAGTGTTATGCTAAAATCTCCGACTGCTTTCTGACTTGAAAAGTTTATTAGGCCCCTCAGGGGTTCTCTAGCCAGAAAAAATACCAAAAAGATGCAGGTTCTTTCACAGATTCTATATGCTTGGTACTCTGGGTCATGGCCAAAAAGAAAAAAGTGCTTTCTCTGAGTACAGAGTCAGTTTATTAATATGTTCTGACTGTAGAATTCATTGAATGTTAGAGTTGCAAGGAAACTTGAGCATTCCCTAGTCCAACCTCCTGCTTAGTACAGGGATCTTGCAACTACAACAGATCCCTATAACTATATGTCCAGTCTCTGCTTAAATCGCTTCAACTGAGAGGTCACCAGCTCATGAATCAGCCTGTTCCACTATAGAACAGCTTTCCCAGCAGAGCACCAGGGAGATTCTTTTTCTATCAGAAATCTTCTTTGCCATTTCCACCTATTGGTTCTGTTCCTGCCTTCTGGAGCAACACAGAATGCTCGTTCTGTCTTCTACATGGCAAGCCTTCAGATAGTTGAAGGCCACAATCATATCTCCCCCGACCATCTCTTTTCTAGGCTAAACATAGGGCCTGGCTTCTAGACCCCAGCCTATCCAGTTGTCATCCATTGCCACACTAATTATTGTTGCTGGTTTGGTTTGTTGTAGGATTTTCCCTTTCTCCTGGTATTCCTCCCCACCTACTTGCTATGATCCCATCACTTCCAGGACTCCCAGCTGCTTTATATCCTGCCCAACTCCCTCTGGAGAATTATTTGCAAGCTGAGGATAAGAGCTGCTCACAAACACATCCCTTAACAGTGAAGCATAACTTTCAGCAATGTGCCACAGGAACCTCAGCAAGCAGCAGCTTCTTCAAAGCTTCAAAGGAACACCTTGAACCTCATGAAACAGGTGATACTATAAATGAATGCTGCAATCCTGTGCATCTTCCCTTATCACTAAACACCCACTGTAAAATAACTGTACTTAAGCTTATCCCTCCCTGTGTGAGGATGTGTTTAATGCCAGTTATGTATACATGGTGTTATAGGGCAAAACCGGATTCATAAGCCACATGGACCATTACTTCCCTTCTCTCTTCCTTCTTGTAACATGTAATAGTAAAACTAAAACTCTGTGTAAGACAGCTGTGGGGGAGTTTAGAGTATGGTAATATTAGCAGGTTGGGGGACAGGTGCTGTGTAATAAGAGGTTCTTCACGTGTGAGGTCTTTCCAGGCTTCTACCTACCTTGGGGAATATTTTGAACAGCCCTGCCCCCATCCCATTTTCGAGAGGCGAGGTGCAAAGTTGGTCCTTTTCAGACAATCAAAACCAGACATCTGCATGCTTTTGTAGGGCTGCAGGATTACAGGGTTTTTTGATCAGCTGGACCAACTATGCATGCACATTTTGTACATGAGTACAGATGATACGCAGTGGATGGAAAAGCACGTAGGTCATGTAAGGAGAGGTAGTAATCCTGCTTTCCCCATGCACAGCACTCTCGTCTTTTGATGGTCCAAATTAACATCAGTTGTCATTTTCCATATGGGAGTTTCCTCGCTGATTCTCAATGAAGCCTCCATAAAATTGCATGGAACTCTGTACAAATGAATGCTCCCTCATCTACTTAGGATAGCATCACAACTTTGGTTTGAAAAAAGAATCTCTTACATCTATAGGAATAAACATGGAAGTGTTATCTCAAAGTCATGAAATCTTCACAGAAAATATTTCCAAACAGAATCCAGAGGAAGATAAAAAATTTGCAGTGGAAGGTGATGATAGGCACATGTGTCTGTGAGTGCTTTTTTACTGGCCCTTTTTCTGGATTTGGCATCTTGTGCTCACTTCCTGATGACAGAAAATTCATCATGGTCTCAATTCTAAACCTGCTGACTTCCTCCTTTCTTCTTGCCTTTTCAGACCTGATCTGTGCTGGGTATTTCTGTTCTTCATCAGAACTGAACTGCCAGCCTAGTCAATGTGGGTGGGCAAAGTTGGAGTCTTGCATTTTTGAAAGGAAACAAACTCACTCACTCATTCCTACACTCCTTTGTTTCTGGCTTTGTACAAAAGCAAATAATAGGTTAGAATTTGAGAAACAGCTTATGGAGAGGCAAAATCCATGAGCTGCAATGGCTGATGGTTGCCCCCACCCCCCACTGTGTCTGTGAGTCAGGCTTCAGCAGAGTGATCACAAACCTCAGGAGTGGCAGTTGTCTTGGGCACCGTGCTACAGTCCTTCCTTCCAGGCGCCTGGGGCAAGGAGGGGGCGGAGGAGGGAGAAAAACAGGACAACTCTGACTCCCAATAGCAGCCATGCAATGGAAGTAGCTCTAATAGCTGCCTTGTAGGTACCCCTTAGTTTTTGCTGCTGGTGGTGGTTGTCTTCTCCCACACAGTGCTTGCAAAGCAACTGATTTCCAGGCTCTGCAGCACTGTGGAAATAAGAGGATGCTAAGACATGATGGGGGAATCCCGCACCTGCACCAGATCTCCCCAGAGGTTTGCAAAACAGCAAGATGTCTGGTTCATATGCAAACCTGTGAAACCTGGTGCAACAGGAAGTGCCTCCTCCACCTTTAGAGCTTGAAAAAGTGCACCAGTGAAATCTTAACATACTAGCACATGAATGTATTATACTTCTTGTGCTTTAGGGCCACAAAGAAGCACCCAAAGCTTCAGGTTTAACCATTCTCTGCTTTGGGGTGGCCTCCTTAAATGAACTCCCTGCTCTCTACCTGAGTGATGCCCTGCTGACTGCCTTGTGGTGGTTAAAAAAGTAAGTGTGTATGTGTGTAATTGGTGAGTTCATAACAAATGGAAAAAAAGAAAAAGAGCAAGTAGTTGCTTTCTTCATGTCTTCATTCCCCAGCCCTTCCCCAGCTGCTTACAGTCATCTTCCACCAGCACTTTCCTGCACCATGGAGCCAGGCCTGTGAAATCAGTGCGTCGTCATTTTTTAAAAATCCCACCTAGAGCTATGCATGAAAACTTAATTGCCTCAGCACTTCTTGAATGCACCTTGGTTGTGATACCTTATGCTACCAAAGCAGGCACCACATTTGAGGGGGCTCCAGACAAGGTGTCTTTCAGTCCCCTGACAAGTGCCCTCCTTGGAGGACTCTCTTCAGTTTTGGTATCCATCCCGGGCTGCATCTGATTGCTGCAGGAAAAGAAGCCAAAGCGGAAACATGTGGTGTGAAGATGAGTTCTCTGATTATGCTTCAGAGAGTTGAGTGGAAGCATAGTCAAGGATGCAGAACATCTGTCAGGCTGAGGGCCAAAGCCAGTGTTGTAGTTGCTCTCAGGGGCTGGGCTGAAGGTGAAAGGGCAGGGCAAAAGCAAAAGGGATGAGCCCAGAATTCCAGAAAGGGTAACATAATTGAGCTTTTAGTTCTTCTCTTAGTAATTAAGCCTCAGGAGCTTTACAAAGGGATAAAAATGCCGAAAGCTGAGAAATCACTAAACAGTAGATGGCAGAGAGAAAGGGGAAGGGAGCATGGCCTTCTGTGGAGCGCCAGAGCGTTGGATTTGACCCTTGGGACTGAGCTTCTGTGTCACCAGTTTGAATAAGCATTTTTCATATAGTTTCCCTTTTAATACTGGAACATTATTGCCTGTTTCTCCTTCCCCCCTCCTCTAAAACACTAACCCATAGATAAGGTATTTCTTCTTTTGCTCCCTTACTGAAGCATCTGGGCCTGAAAACCTGCCATGTGTTGCAGAAGAAAATGGGGAAGACCAAATAGATGAAAATGCTTCTTTTTCTCCCTTTGGACAAAGAATGAACATGAGAACTCAAAATGCAGATGACAGGTGAGGGAAAATCATATATTAAGTAGATCTATAAAAATTCTACCATAAAAATTATACTCTGTTGAGGGATGGCTTTTGAAAGGATTGATTATCTGGTACAAATACTCTTTTTAAGGAAAAGTTCATATGGGGTTCATCCCATTTTACTTTTTTAACAATCCTGTGAAATTGGCTTTACTAAGAGATGGAGAGTAGCCAGGAATCACCTGGTGAGCTTTATGGATGGGCAGGAATTTGAATATTGGACCACTCCATCCAAATGCAAGACAACCTAGTTCTATGAACATTGTTATATGAATAGCCTTCAGCCAGCTCAATGTACCTCAGTCAGTATTATAAAAGCAGCTGTGCATGAGGGTGTCAATAAATAGCACAATGATGAAAACCAGAACATCTTTAAATCAACTGCAAGATGCCCACTGGCACTTCCTTTATAAGTGTCTTGCTATTTCCCCTTACAAACCTAATTCCAACAGACTAACTTTTGGCTGTTACTCTTCATAAAAACAAAAGGCTGTCAAATACATCAGTTCATATCTGCTTTATTATTTTCCTAGACCAATCCGACCTGGAATTGGAGTGAAACAGAAAACATTTCAAGAATTTGTTGAGGAGCAACTTAAATTTGATTCTGAAAGAATGGGGAAACAGAAGCAGGTACTTTAAGTTGTATTTAAAAATGAACCCATCTTGGAGGGTTTAATGAGGAACTATGGTGGCCCAAGCTACTAAAGGTGCAATCCTCTGCAAGATCACACACACACACACAAACCCACAACTCCCAGCATGCCCCAGCTAGCTTGGCTTGTGTAGGATTGAGCCTAAAGCTGTCTATATCTGATAGGATTTTTTTGCTGGCATGTATGGTGAGCTAGTGTGTGTCCACATTTACCCCTCTTCTCCAAAGGTAGTTACAGCTGTGATTATCCTACTCCTGTTGATGGTATAATGGAAGTTTACAGGGTATCCACTTTTGTTACTAGTAGATGTTGCTCATGTTCATATGGAAAAGAGTTAATGGCTGTCCCCAAATTCATGGTTTTGGGTGACAGAATGGGAACGAAAATGGCCTATTCATGTCTATACTCAAGAACAGCAAAAATGGTGGTGGCACTTTCTGTGATGTATCCTTTGCAGGGTGAGTCAGGAATTACAGCACTAGATGACCCTATACCACTAGACCTTGCAGCATCTGTAGTTCCAGCGCTAACTGCACCCTGAAGCAGTGCCTAGTGCTTTTACACCTTTAAAACAAAACCAATAACTTCTTGGAAAGAGAATGAAAGACATTGGGGATTTCTCCTAAACTTGACATCTCTGTGCTGTGTCAAGTTGCTCACAGCTTGAGTTCCTAGAAATGTGCCTGGTGGAAGATAGAGGTCCTCACTGCTCCATGCAACCCATCCAAATAAGGACTGCAGCCTTCTCATCATTCATGCTGCTGTTAGGGTTGGACTATGAGACCCAGACTGTCCTCAAATGGTCTATTTCCCAGGGTACTCTCCAACCTGACAGTGCTTATGGACTCATTTTGCCAAGGCTAGACTTTTGTGCCCTGGTGAAATAACAACAGATTGATCAGGAAAGGCAGGGAATGGGGGTGGGGGGAGAGTCCAACTCCATATCAGTGACTGGAGAAACAAAGACAGCAACATCTTCACCATAATGGCCTGCCAAGTGACAGCACAGGGTGGGGGGTGGGTGGAGTGGCAGGGGAGGAGAGTAAGCTGGTAAACCAAAGGCAGAGGAAGGGATGCCAGTGATGTCAGCAATGTCTGTCCATATAGGCTGTTTTCAGCTTCCACTGTTGCCTCAGTTTATCAAATCAGTGACAGAGGCAGCAGCAATTCTTGTCCATCTACCTGTTGTGGGTGAAAATTATGCAGTTATACATCTGCCTCTCAACGCTGAAGATTAGGAAAAATCCCCACTGTGTTCGATTCTGGCTTCATCCACCAGCATTTCCTTTGGCCAAGCCTGAGAAGCAGCAAATGCAACAGGGAAAGATTAGATATCCTTGTTTGCCTTGAGGCATTTAGCTCTGGTCCTTACCCTCCAGTAACTAAGCCTGAAATCCTACTTCACTCTGGCTTTACCAGATTGTAGATCACTGTGTGAACTTGATTTCAGTAGGACTTAATTCTAGGTAGCTGGCCATGTGGCCTCCCCTACAGAGGACCATCCTCTATTCAAAGGGGTGCTAGAGAACTGTCCTTCATTTGAAGCGATTCTCTATTCAAATTGTTATCCTGTCCAATTCTGCTTTAAAATTAAACATCCAAAGAACTGTCGTGAGATGTACTGTATTTCTATTTAAGCTGGTATTTCAGAAATGTACTTTTATTTTTATAAATGAAAGAACACACACAATTTTATACAAAATAGTGTATAAATAGTGTCTTTTTGGTGAAGCAGTTCCTCTTTTTGGGGTGATTGTTAAGTATTTGCATAATGACCACTGCAAGGGTCATGCACAATTTTGAAAGACACAGAGTATGCTTTGTACAGGATTCCTTGCTGACTTCTGTGTGTAGGCAATCTGCAATGAGGAATTCTTATATACACATGAAGTCTTTTCCTTCATAGAAGAAAATGGGGAACTTCTCCATTTATAGAGCTTTAAATTACATACCCCATTGGTAAATTAAGGATCCAGTCCTATGTATGTCTGGACAGAAAAAAGTTCTGCAACTCACAGCATTTCCCAGCTAGCAGGAAATGTTGGCAGGAATTTTTCTGTTAGAACATGCATAGGTTTGTACCCAAAATCACCTAGAATAGATTCAGAATATAATCCAAAGATATACAGCTCCTGACTCTGGAGTCAGAAAGTTTTGAAACACCAGTGGAAGATGTTTAAGGTTTCACATGCATAATAGTATTCATTGTTAATTTATAGTATTGTCTTATTAAATTTTTCTACATTATTATATCACAACTTTATTTGCAGAATGCCTGTGAGGCTAAAGTGACTGCACGGAAGTCATTTCTCAAGTGTGGAGAAGGCACAGCAAGACTTCTAAAAAATAGAAGGAACCTTGGCAAGAAACCAGCCAAAACTTTCAGAAGAGTCAGCTTTGATTGCCAGAATCATTTCACATGGCCTTCTCAATGGGATATGGGAAAACCTTTGGGAAAACACCCACAATTAAAAAGGTGGGTTAGTAGCCCAACAGTGCTGTTCTTGGATGATAAAAATGCAAATTGTATCATTTCCAGGGATGATAACAAGCGTCAGCTTAATAATCATGAGCAAAGCATGGAAGAAAGCCATCACACTGGTGGATATGATGGTGAAGAGATGGTAAACAAGAAGGGATTTGATGGTGAAGAGGCAGTAAATGAAAAAGAATTTGAGGTACCATCTCAGATGAACTGGTCCAAATGTTCCCAGAAATGCCATGGACAAAAAAATAATATTAAAGCAAAAGTGTGTGCAAAAACTGAAGCCTCGTGGCCTATTTCTCAAGAACATTCTGGCAGAGAGGACAACAGGTCCATAGAACCTAAGATTCCATTGCAGCTTATAGGGGACATAAAGAACAGTGTATCACAGGTAGCTAGAAGGCCTATGAATGCTTCACCCAATGTCACTGAGCTTCAAAATTTAGAAATCACCCTAGCCAATCAAGAGGATCAGAATCATGGATATCAGGTTATTCAAGATGTGAATAGGGTCAAGCAATGGGGAAATGAATATTGTGTCACTGCAGATAAAAACCCAGAAATAACTGTAGAAATTATCCCTGAGTTTAAAAAAGTCAATGATCAAATAGTAAAAGCTATGCATAAACCAGATAGAAAGCAGGCGACCACATTTGCTAATTCACAAACTAGACACTGTAACGGTGCAGAAGCAGCTAACAGATGGAAAGAGAATCTCTCTAGTGAGTCGGCCTGCACATCTTCTGATAGTGAAGATGAATCTAAATCCCACTGCTGTCAGTATCCCTGGAGGCCTAACACCCACAGAGCAGTGAGCACAAGCAAGAACATGGATATTTCTGAAGCTGACTATGCCACTGATGAGCCCAGTGAAGCAGAAGATCCTTCGCTGAAAAGTAGTAGAAAAACACGTGCCAAGACATTTGGTGCTCAGGAGCTAACAGGTCAACAGGGAACCTCCTCCACTGCAAGCAGCAGCAGCAGTGAATCTAGCCTCAGAAGCAGGAGCTTGAGATATGGAAAGACTCTTTCTTCAGTTAGAAAATCCCAGTTTCATCAATCACAAGCAGCAAGAGGAAGAAAAGAGCCTGAAACACGGAGTAATCTGTGTGACAGTGAATTGAGTTTGCAACCTCCTTCCTTGACAAGAAATCTTGTAGCTAGCCTCTTCCCTGTTTTCAAGAGCAAAGCAAATCTAGAAGGTAAGAGAATTACACTAGGTAAGATAACTTTAAAAGGTAAATGTTGGCTTTACTTCATAACCAGTTAATTCAGACTCTATTCTTCAAGAACATAGAAATATCCCAGGTGGCTGGTTGTCCCAAGGCTGATTCAGTATGAGGCCATGTTGCTGTAAATGGAATCAGTTCAACCTGACTCACAAAACCATGGCTTGAACTTGGTTTGTAAACCACGTTTTCCCCTAACTATGGTTCCTGTTATGTTTAAACTTGACATGCTGGTTTCTTCTGTTGTTTTACCCCTTTAGCTGGAACATGAAGTCATTGAAGGGTAAAAAGGCTCTTGCTGGCACTTTCACAGAGCCTGCCTTCGCTCCTTCCCTCCTTAGTTTGCCTGCCAGTGCCCCTCTCTTCATTGCTGATCCCTTGCTGGCTTGGGTACCTGACCCCACATCCAGTTTGTGAGAGGGAAAGTGAAAAGGAAGTAAAAGGCACAAAGGGATTGCTTAATCTACCATGGGGGGAAATCTCTGAAGGAGCAAAGTCAACACAACAGCATTGTTTTAAGAATTCACTGCACCATTTTAAGCTCCTCTGTCTTTTCCTAATTAATGGGCTTTTTCTACTGTAAGAGAGAAGATGGAAGAAGTAGTGGGAAAAAGCAGGTATAGGAATAGAGGGTGACATCACATAGACCTCTCAGTTTACTTCTGTGAATGAAGCAGAGCGATAGCATGATAAAAGCCTTATGTAGAAGCACTCTTTGTTGATCTAAAAGTGACCTGAGGAGCAATTCCAAACGATCTGGGTTGTGCCTTCATGCTGCTCTCTGATGTATTTTTCATTAAATTTGCAAAAAAAAAAGGATAAAAATGAATGAATGAATGAATGAATGAATGAATAAAATATATTGAATACTTTTCCTCTATGTGCAGCCCTGCTTCAACAGTTGGGTGTGAAAAGTGGTAAAATGAAAATGCCTATCTTGTAGCATAAGCACCTCCTGGTTATGTGGGATTTCTGTGAAATTTGCATCCTAGCACTTAACTTGAGAGTCAGCTTCTGTCAGCTCTGTTTATCCTTGGGCACTTGGAGTAGCATTCCTTGCTCATCCATTGCCTGGCAGTTCTGGCATCTTCTGTTGAAGATGGAACCCAGGACTTGCAGCAGTCTGAGGCCAGGGGGATGAAGTAGGTGTCTTCATTGGTTAAGGCAGTCTTCAGTTGGCTGTCCAAGAAAATTGTAATGAGAGATGAGGGGTAGTTCAGCCGCACTGGCAGCAGTGGAGAACCTTCTGAAAAATAAAATCTTTCAGAGTCACTGCCCACAAACAAACCATTGTGGAGCCCAGAATGATGCCATGCTGAGGACCAAAGCAGACATAACTTTAAAGACAGAGCTTGCAACTATGTCTTCCGGTATGCTTTACTCTAAAGTAATGGCAGGAATCTGGAGTCTAGCATGGAGGATGCATTCGCCTGCTGTGGTCCCGGTTCAGATGGAGCAGGCGGTGCCTGCAGTGTTATTGCCAAATAGAGATCCACTTGCTTTTATTTATAAATAGCACGAATTTGGCATTTGTGGCAACCTTTTTATTTTTTTTAACAGAGGGGAGGGTGATGCTGGGAATTATTAGGACCAGATAATCAAGTAGTGCTGGGTTGAGTTCTCAGTTTGGCTTTTTAAAAAATTGTATTGCATGCCTGTGCATTTATATAACCGTTCAGTCACTCAGGTGCAATCCTACGATGTTCCTGTATGTTAGGGCTAAACTAGGCCTGATCTTAACAGGAGTGCAATGGACATGCCTGTTTTTTGTTACAAGATATTTTTTTTATCAGATTTATATTTATTAGCAAAAATGACTGCTGTCACGAATAGTCACTGTGTTTATTCTGTGTACATTTTGCTTACATTGATCTATCACAGATTGTACCTCTTGTTCTGGACCCACCATTACCTTCCCCCTCTGTGTGCGATATTTATGGTTTATTACAATATATATAATCCACTTTCTCTCTCACATACAGAGTAAACTGAGAGCAATGCTTCATGCATCTAATGTAGTAAAGTCTGGAGTGTGGAAGTTTATGCCATAGTAAATCTGTTTGTCTTTAAGGTGACTCACAACTCTCTTGACTGCTGTAGTATGACTACAATAGTCTCACTCAGGAAGGATGGTCTTATCAGACACAGATTCAAGCCATTCCCCACTGTTAGCTGTGCTAGCATCAGTCTGTTGCTTGCTTGCTTGATTCATATCTTGCCTTTCTTCTAAGAAAAATGGCATTCAGTTATGCAGTCTGCCTCTTAGGACACATATTAGGACATCTGTATGCAGTGATGCAGTTAAGTTATTTTAGACCCTGGACTTGTGGTCTTATGTAGCCTGCTTTCTTTAGATAGTCATATATAACTTCACTTGTGAGGCACGCATCTGACTTTTCTCCTCCACTCCCCACCTCCATGATTCTGTGTTTTATAGCTACTTTTATATGCTTCTTTTATTGCAAATGAACCAAAAATCAACCATTAAAAACTGCTATTCAATATATATATATATATATATATATATATAGAGAGAGAGAGAGAGAGAGAGAGAGAGAGAGAGAGAGAGAGAGAGAGAGAAAGAAAGTAATACTTGGAGCATGAACAGCTTCGTTTTTTACACTCAATTCAACTTCAGGAATACAATGAGGTTTGCTTCTGCTGCCTTCATCAGCTGCCACTTTCCTTTTAGGAAGAGTTTGCAGGCTGCAGACCCTGGACCTTGGCCCCAAGGTCCAACTAGGCCTAGTTTCACCCCTCTTTGTTATTGGGTTTATTTTAAGGATTGTGTGCAGTCAGGAAATTTTAAAAAGTATGCCCTGTGGAGCAAGTGGCAAGTTCAGTAAGAGAAAGCATCTTCTTTGCAGCTGCAACAAGATCCGCATTCAGCTACATGATCTGGCTGCTGGAAATCAGTATCTCAACAACAGTTTTTCAAAGCAAGCATGTTTTTTGCCTGTGTGGGGATAGAGAGGTGGGATAATTGGCTTGAGGTGTATGCCCTTTGCCTAAGATGTCTGCTATTTTGTGTTGGCAAACATTTTGGCTCCCCAAGCACGCAGATACTCTCCAAACATCTTGACTGTTGATTGCCCATAGGATTGTTGAATTTGCATGAGTACTGCAGTCTGCACATCTAGTGTCTGCAAGACATGTGTGGTGATGCCTTCACAGAAAGTAGAATTGCATCTTGCAGACCGATTTCTTATCTAACCCAGACTGTGTGACTGAGACAAGCATGCAGACAACTTCCTACAAACGTATTGGACAAGATGCTACAGTTATAAAGCGGGTTGCATAATAGTTTCTGTTTTACACAGTGTTTCTCATTTTCAAAGCTCTCTGTAATCACTTGTGTTATATTAGTAACCTGCATATGCATTTACACATACAGTTTTTTCAGGACAGTTTGTGGCTTGAATTAAGTGTGATAGTGTTTTAGGTTACCTCCACACTGTATCGTGTTTTGATAGGTACACCAGACAAGTGTTGATAATTCTAATAGTTGATCTGACTACCATTTTTGTACATAAGTAGCCAATCACAATGAATGTCTTTGCAGAGCAAGTTCAAAAAATGCCTATGAGAAAGTTAGAGGAATGTGAGCAGGAGGTTCTAGTACATCATGGAGAAACCTCTCTGTTAGTTCAGATGAAAGAAGAACAAGCCAAAGCAATGGATTTTCTTAGGTAAGAAGTTTGTTTGTTTGTTTGTTTACTTGATATCCATTTAGCAGGGGATGTAAATCCCACTGTTCTGAGGTTAGCTTTTTGTAATAATTTGTGTATATTGGAGCATTGCTATTCAGCTTTCTAAAACTATGCCGGTAATGCTTAAAGGCTCTTACAATAAAATGCATATAGAACAATTTAAAAAACAGATAAAAATAGATTAAAAGATTAAAATTACATTACAAAGATATTAGAAGGACAACTGGTCCCATCATGCGCAATGTCAACACCCACTGATTCCAGGCATTGATCCAAGACTTTCAGAACCACACCTGACCTGGATGTCACAGTGAAATAGAATTGGATGTGATCAGTACACTGATGATGGCAACATGCCCTAATTCTAAGTAGAAACGCACACCCTCAATTTGCAGAGCTGATCCAGAATCAACATGATTGTCCTCCCCCAGTCTTTTTTCTAGTAAGGGTCATCCATCAGGGCAACCAAGGGCGATTCTGTCCTAAACCCAGTTCAGAATGGGTCTAGATAACCTGCTTTCTTCAGATTCAGAGAATCTGAGTATTCTATAGGTTTCAGAAACTGAGTCCCCTGGAAAAATGCAAAAACAAGGAAACCCTGAAACTTTGGAATGCAATGGTAGAATTTGGGAAGCCTCGGGGTACAGGCTTCTTCAAGAGTAGATGCACTGCCTCCTCCAAAAGAATGGCAGGCACTATTTCCTCATGCTTTTCCACAGCCCTGGAACCAGCTGGTCAACTCCCTCTTCTCTTGCTAGATCCAGGTAGGCAGGACTGAGTCATTACCAGTGCCTTGTTCCCATTCTCAGGTCTCAAAAGCAGAAAAAGATCCCACAGCTCTAAACCAGATGGCACATATTGGGGTCTTAATCACATATATTTAGTCCTTGGAGGCAAGAGTGCATGCTTACGGAGGGTCCCAGCATCTCCATTTACCAGGCTCTTAGGAAGACAATAAGGGCGCAGACCTTTGCCTGCTTGAGATCCTGCATGCATGGAACTCCTGCTCTTTTATCAGCATCTCATTTATTTTTCAACAGAAAACAAATAAGCCAGTATGAGGCTATGAGGCCTCAGAAGCTGCATCCCCTGGAAGAGTGCAAAAGTGGAAAATCTCTGAAACAGCAGAAAGAAGAAATACAATTTGAGAAGTATCCAAAAATAATAAAAGAGGAGGGAGAGTCACAGGAAATACAAGTAAGTTGCATTTTATGCTGCAGCGTGGCTGAGGACCTTAGTGTGGTCTTTCAAATGAGTGTAGTGATTGTTCTCTTTTTTGTTTAGGGGACTTTGCCCAAATTTGAGAACAATCTGGTATGAAACCACAAAACAACACAGAAGCAGGAGGAGGTGAAATGATTAGCAGAGAGGATTACAGTGGTAGGGCCCATGGCTTTATAAAGTTCTGGCTGCTGCCACTGCTAGCTAGCATCCTTCCAGTGAAGTTCAAGCTTTAAATCTGCTTTAAAAGAAAGAGAAAGGACAAAGAAAAGGCAACCTTCCTCAACCCCACTGGAATGGCATGGCTTCTCCCCACACAAAACTATTCTGAGGGTTGAATTGTGATCCATAAAATGGAAGTGAAATGGCTGCTTCCATTTGCCACTTGTGAATTGGATGTGGGTGGCTGTATCAATTCACTCCTGCCTAGTGGCTAAGCAAGGGCCTTTTATTAAGGCTGATAAGTTCCATGTAAAGCAGTGGAATTCATTATGATGAGAGCCAGTGTGATGTGATGGCTAGAGTGTTGGACTGGGGACCCAGGAGATGCAGCTGTGAAGCACACTGGGTAACTTTGGGCTAGTCACTCACTCTCAGCCTAACCTACCTCACAGGGTGGTTGTTGTGAGGATAAAGTGGAGCTGTGTGAGCTGCTTTGCAGAAGAGGAAAAAGGGTTGGATATAAATGCAGTGTGACCACAACAGCAGCAAGAGCTGTTATTGGGATCGGGGAGCAAAGCATTGAATTAATAGATGATTGTTTCAGGCCAAATTATCTGGTTGTCAGGTTAACTTAGTGCCTGCACTGTGTGTTTCATACTGTGATTCATGCTTTGTTGGAATATCGGTGCATGTAAGTGCACAATGGATAGGTAGAAAGGGTAAGGAGGGATGGCCAAGCAAGCTCCATAAAGACCTACCTAGAGAAGGCCTGGAATGTTCAGATCTGGCCTGTACAGAAACAAAATAAAGTCTTTAATCTTTTCTTCCCTCTTGAAAAACCTGTCCTCTTAATGACAGAAGTTAAAGCAGCAAATAGCAGGGCTGCAGGAGGAATTCAGAAGAAATGAAACGCACTGGCATGTTGCCCATGTAGAGTTAAGAAGTCAGGTTGAAGCACTGACCAAACACAACCTGGAGCTTCAAGATGAGCTCAAAGTCTCTGAGCATCAGAAGATGGAAGCAGAAGGAAAACATGGCGCTATGGATGCAGTTATTCGAAAAACAGGAACACCGGTACTATTGGCAGAACCATTGTTTGTGCTATGCAGCTTATTTGAATCAGTGACCCTCCCTGCCAAACTGTACCACTCACTGGGGAAGGATTGTGTCTCTAGGATGTTGCTTCCTGGAGCAGACTGCCAAAATTTCCCCAAAAGGATGGGAATAGCTGGCCACTTTTCTCTCCCTTGCTGCTCCACTCATGAGTAGGGATGGGATCTTGCCCAGAGAAGGCACAGGTGGGAACCTATAAAAAAAGCAATATTGTGAAAGCTTGCCCCTACTTTTCCCAGCAAGATAGCAGCTGGTACATATGCGGCCTTAAATTTGCTGACTTTTAAAAAATATGGGCATAGTTGGATATAAATATAATACATAAATTAATACAGAGAAGAATACTTGCTGCCTTGCACATATGTGACACAGTCTTGATTGTTACTCCATCTTAATTTCTTTATCAGGCTTTGACAGCTTTTTTGAGAGGGACATCCTCTGAAGAGACTTTGGAAGAAAGACCTGTGCAAGCAAGCCATAAGAGCCCTGACAACATGAATTTAGGAAGGAGAACAGTACTGGATGAATTGACTGCTAGAGATAGGAATGCCCAGGTAAGACATGCAATCTTGATGTGCAAAGAAATTAAAAAAGGCTTCCAGCATTCGTGTAATCAGTACAGAGCTGGTGTGATATAGCAAATAGCCAAGGAGCCCAAACATCAAATCCTAGTGTGGAATTAAGGTTGGTGTTGTACAGCGGCTAAAAGTTATGAATTAGGACATTGTCCATTTGAATCTTGCTTCTGCTGTGAATTTACTAGGCAGCCTTACCTGTGCATCTCTCATTCCCTCTAGCTGCAATATGGGGGGTGATAAAATTTCATTTTATGCTGTGATCAGACATCATAGTGGCTATTCCTGGGTTGTTTGGCCCAGCAGTTGAGGCAGGGAGCAGAGTGTACAAGCCACATCATTTCTACTTTCCTGTTGTTTCCTGGGTTGTGTGTTGATGTGCAAATGCAGAATCTTTGGATTGTTTAAGCAAAAGTGTTTTATGTTTTCTAGGCAACAAGTGCACTACAGAAGTCTGAGTCACTGAAATCTGCAACAGGAGAAGCAAGAGTGAAGAGCCCATCTAAAACCCTTTATAGCAGAAGTGCACCTCCCTCAGGCCGGAGGATGCCCCATCAAATGCCATTTGAACAACATAAAGTAATGTGGATTCACTGAATAGCTGTGTTTCTTTAGCATTTATATTTTATCTAGTTTCCCAAGGTGCTTTGCCTTATGTCTCTGCAACATGGAACCTGGCTCCAGATGGCTACTGCCCTTGAAGAAAGCCTAGATAGGAACTGTAGCAAGAGAGAGAGAGAGAGTTGCTACTCAGCATGCCTAAACCTTATACAGGAGTAAAGCAAGAGCTGACAACGAACAGGCTGTGTTGGCATGCAATGCTATAGTGTATAGTTTATATTAACCATGGGTTGTTGCAATTACTGTTGCAGAGACAACAAACAAACATGACCTTATTTTCCCTATTTTAGGTTTGCTTTTCCTCAGCCCATTTTGCCAGCCTTCAAAACATTTTCATTTTCAGGTTACTGTCAGAGGCCAGACTGCAGTATAAACAGGCTATAGATTTTAATAGATTTCAAAGCCAACAACGTACCAGAACTTTCATTTGTGGGTTGTAGGTAGTTAGCAAACCATGGTTTGTTTGTGGGGATGGTTTGGACACAACAAACCAGATTTCAACAAATCACACCGTGACTTAATGTTATGTATGAACCAGGACTAAAAAGTGACATGTGTGAGGATTTATATAGCTGCGGATCTTTCCCTGTGCAAGTTGCCTGTTAGAAGCAGAGAAGATGTGCTAATGGAAGAAAAGCCTGCATTACTTTCATTTTCACTTGTCACCACTATGTCTAGGCACATTTTTCCCCTTTCTCTTCATTATACGACAGTATAGTACTGGGGACTGTGCAACCAATAGTGTTTGCACAGCTGTCTTTCACCAAAGCTCTCATTCTTGGGTGATTTGGATCTATATTTCATGACATAAATTCCACAGAGATGCTTTGAGAGTTGTGCCAATCTTAGTAGGGCTGTCAGAAATCACAGCACTTTTAGCTGTATGGCTTGGAATCTTGGAGGGAAAAATCTAGAAAGTCAAAAGCAGGGAGGCTATGAAGGCGATTGCCTTCTTTTTCTTCCTCTGACAGAAATCTATTCCATGGGGGGCATAGACCTGTATTTCAGTAGGAAGAGCACATGCTTTCCATGTAAAAGATCCCAGCATCTCTGGAGAGGGTGGGAATATTCCTGCCTGGAACCCTAAAAAGCAGCTGCCAGCCAGTGCTAGATGAACCAATGGCCTAGCTCAGTATAAGACATCTTACTATTTTGCCGTGTTCTTTCTATGATCCACCATGAGGGACCAAGTGACATAGAAATCTAACATTTTAAAAACATACCTTCACGTTGCCTGTAGAATATCACATAATTACTATGGGCACTACCAAACAAGTGTTTCTATTACACCATCAACAGTGGAATGTTGTGGGGTGTCCAGCTGAAGTTTTCTTCAATTTGTAACCACCTTGTGTATTCTCGCCCTCCTCTCTATCTTTTTTTCTTACTAGAAAACTATTTGTTAAAGAGTTATAGCTACACAGTGTTTTTTGATTAGTAGCATTAGGAACCCCCATCTTGAAGCACTTTTTATCTCTAAGGGAATTGCATTTTACTCTTGCTTTTTATTCTGTTCAACCTCTGTACAGGGAGGCAACCCTTTCTGGCTAATCATTCCTAATACCCAGACTTTCCAAGTGATGGCATATGTAGAAATGTCGTTCCTTTAAATGTTTCCTCCTTGTTGTAGGCTTTATCACACAATCCACAGCAAAGACATGTAAGCAGATCATTACTGTCTGCATCTAATCTGACTGAACTCAAGGATACAAGTCCTTCTTTGTATGTGGCAGGTAAGATACATGGTGATAGTAGGTGCCTGCTAACTGTAGAGAGAATGTGTTCTTGCTCAATCATACCACTTTGGCTAGCCAGTAACAGTATGTTGGATTTCGGAGACAAAACATAAATGACCTGTGCTTTAATATGTTTTCACTGGCAGTTTTTAATATGTCAATATTTTAACCTCTCTAGGTACGTACTCTTCCACTTCAGGTAGTTCAGAAGATGCAGCTTTTTTAACTACCCAAAACAATGACATTTTAAGCTCTGCAACCTTAAGTAATTCGCGAACACAGGTATGTTTTTTGTACAAGTATCTTTTATACAGATAGTGTGCCTAAAACACAGTTCTCAAATTAGCCTTTTGTTTAGAACAGTTTGTGTGTAGGGGGTGGATGGAGGTGTCCAGTGTTATATTCCGAAATTAAACAATCCGGATTTAAATATTTAACCCCTTTAAATGCGTAAGTGATTTCAAAATGCTGTTTAATGTCTTTACAGTTGAAAGAGAATCTTACCCATAAAAGGGCTCAGAGATCCAAGAACTCCTCTGAACAGGTAGCTTCTCCAACCATCTGTAGGAAGAAGAGTATAACTTCAAACAGTAGGAAAACATCTGCAGACAATACTCCTACTCTTATGGATGCTCAAAGAAAGGTTTGGTCTCTTAACAGTTTGTCTGTCCATTCTTCCCTACCTTTCTGTTTATCTGCATCAATAGTATTTCTACAGTTATGTAACCAGGTGTTATGACGCACTGCATTTCTATCAGCCAATGGTTCCCTTACTAATAGGGCCTGATGCAGGCCTAGCCACAGCAGAGTTCAGGAATGGCTTGGATGCTCATATGTCCCTCACCCTGCCTTTCCCTTTCTTTCCTCTCTTTTGGTATCTAGGGTATCTGTTTGCTCTTAAGCTCTTTGTAGACCTGCTTCAAGCCAGGGGTTCAAATGCCAGTTAAGACTGAAGCTCTGGCTAGTGTTAACCACAGCACAGCTGGTGTAAACCACATGCTTAAAATGTGGCTGAAGCAAACAGAGGAGTTGGACTGGGGAAAGGGATGGAACCTGGAGCTTGCAGCCCACTCCCTGTTTCTCAACCATACTCAAGTCCAAATCCTCAAGCATAAGTGAGCCTAAATGGTCAGTGGTAGCCACACTCCTTTTCCTTCCCAGAATTTGTGTTATGGCTGTTCAAGAACAGCAGAGAAAACATTAGTCTGATTCACTCATAACATAACCCACTGTTTATTGAACCATGGTTTGTTATCCTAACCACAGTCTGTCTGGTAGCTAGTCAAACTCTGACTTGTTTTATCAGTTTGTGGTTTGCTTGTTTCCCTCCTCCTTTTTCAGCTCCATCCCTGTATCCCAATGGCATGTACTTCAGTGTTGCAAAGGCACTGGGATGTTCATTGACTTTACCTTATATTGTTGTTGATGTTTTAAAGGTCTAGTTATTGAAAATGTTTGTTACTGAATAAAAATATCTGTAAAATATCTGTTTAAAAGAGAAGGGGAAATGCTAAGGAATAAATTATGGCTATTCAAAGCAAATGAAACAAAAATAAAAAACTGAAGGCAATCAAATTTGCATATTGTTGAGGTAACAGGCAGTTAGAGGGAAATGCTGCAGTTTTCTCTCTTTAGGATTCAGAGTGCTTAGAATATAAGTTCTCTCAAAAGACCTGCAGTCACAAATTGAACCTTTCAGAAATTGTCCAGATTTTAAAAGATGATAATTTGAATGAGCATAAAATATAAAATGACATTTTACAAATAAAAAAATCATTTCAAAGTGATTGTAAATAATACCTAGTTATAAATACATCGAGTTGTGAAAAAAATGCAAAAGAAGCCTTTAAGCATAACCCCAGTGGGATGCCCATAGCCCTCCAAACTCAGAAGATTAGGGGCAACCTATGGAGAGCAGAAGAAGTGTGGGGGTGAAGACTATCCCTGTAAAGCACATGGCTGAATTTGGCTGATTTCCAGAGTGCCCTGCTTTGCAGGAGGAGGAAAGAAGGTTTGAGTGGTCCATCTCCTCCCCTCCCTCAGAATGGCCACAAAGGCCCCTTCTCCAAGGTTGCAGTTGCAACCTTAGAGAAGCAGCCCGCCCGGTTCTTTTCATGCTAGGAATGCAAGGGGCAGAGGAGAGGGAGCCAAGCATTAATCCGAGTGATTTTCTAACATAGCTGGGAATACAAACAATCCTCTAGGCTTGACATACTCTCTGGTAGCCGTAGGATTGCACTGTGAACAATTGACATTATTAATGAACTGGACTGAATCAATGATTCCAAGTTTAAAATAGCCATACAAGCATCTTAATAAATTAGCAACTCACAATAAATTAAAGCGGGTGTATAAAAACAAGACTTCTAAACAGACTCAGAGAGTGATTTTTTTAACCTGACCACAGTTGTTCTGCTAGTCCTTATTAATTCATTGATCCTTTTTTTAAAAAAAGGATATCATGCCCTTTATGAAGACTTTTTACAAAGACACTAGAGCTGAAACATAACCAACAGAAAAATCAACAATTTAAAACCTGAAAACATATACAGATGGTAAATAAAAACAGCATAAAACAAAATTACTTCAGGGATTTAAAATGATTTAAAGGGCCCCAAGAAATAAAAACAGTTTTGTCTGGCACTAGAAAGATTTTTTTAAAAAGATGTTAGCCAAGTATCTCAGATTCCCTAGAGAGCATTTTAATGCTTTTTTCATTTTCATTTTCATTAGTAAATGTTAAATCAAAGAAAGCATATGTATCCTGCCTTCTTTGAGAATTTTATTGGGCTCATATGCCATTTTGCCATCATCTAGACCAGTGATGGTGAACCTATGGCACGTGTGCCCAAAGGGGCATGCAGAGCCCTCTCTGTCCGCACACGATCACCCCAGCAGCCACGCACATATTCAGAAAGATTAAGGGCGCCAGGCAACAACGTCACTCATTAGCTGAGACTCACCAGCTTTCACATGGCCAGTCAGTGAGCTGCCAGGGATTTTCTTGGACTGTGATTTTAGCAGAAGGTAGGACAGGTAGGAAATACACTCAGATGCCTTTTTCAGGGCCGGCCAAAAGCTGGTGGTCAGTGGAACTTTGCCCCCTTGTGCAGGTTTTATTGCAGTGTTGGCACTTTGCGATAAATAAGTGGGTTCTGAGTTGCAATTTGGGCACTCGGTCTCTAAAAGGTTCACCATCACTGATCTAGAGGCATTAAAATTACCAAAATTGGCTGAAATGCTTGCCCAGGCAACCAGACACATCGTTTTTCTATGCCAGTTTTTCCTATTTCCTATTTTGTTGTATCACTCTTAACTCTCCCTCCTCACCACCACTTGCTTCAGCGGGGTTAGTTCCAACAGCACAGAAGAGAACTTCCACTTGCTTCCTTCTTCCCACACTGCAAGCAGATGCTTGGATGCGCCCGAGGCCGAAAGGCCACAGAGGGGACCATTCTGCCAGCAGTTTCCATTCTCATGAGTAGACAGGCAGGATTGTGTGCTGTCCAGAGTGACCTTTCATGGGACTGGGCAATATTGCTGGAAAGGCTTTAAAAAAAGACAAACAAGGAAAAGCTCCAGTCTGCTTCTAGGATGAAATATTAGCCTTCTCCTCTCTGATGTGGATTTTGTAAGATGTCACTCTTCACAGAAAAGTCTGTGCAAATAAATTCATGTTTGGTTATTGATAGCTTTCCCCCCTCAAACCAATACTGTCCAGAAGAGCACCACTATATACTGAAAGCAAGGAGGATGGGGACGTGAAAGAGAAAATTGAGTATCCTGATGGAAAGGTAAGAAACTTTAGAGAGGTATAAAATAGAAAGAACTTTACCTGTATTTTACAAGCACTGGTATCACACTGAACTTTAATGGCATATGAAGGGAGATGTCCACTGTTTAACAAGTCCAGTTTTTATTAAAATAGTTTTCAAAGTGTATCAAAATTTGTCTTGCAATTTTATTGTATTGATATTCTCTTACTGTACCTGCATTATATTCATAGAATAGTAGAGTTGGAAGGGACCATGAAGGCCACTGGGTCCAACCCACAGCTGTTTCAGGACACCAACTTACACCATCCCACTCAGATGGCTGTCCAGTTTCTTTTGAATGTCTCTAGTGTGGGAGAGCCCACCACCTCTCTAAGCAGCTATTCTGTTGTTTTACTGTACCTGTTAGGTATTGATATGAACCATCCTTTGGCCTGGAATAGAAGTGAAATTAAGAATAAGAATAAAAAAAGAAAGATTTTGGAAAACTATGTATATGTTCTTCCCACTCTCCCCCACCGCTGGACTGCTGGATATGTAAAGCTAAGATATCTTAAAGGTTAAGAATGGATGGATAACAGGGTCACATGCTTCTCTTCCTTTTCTAACCCTAACCCTCTGCCACAAATTCATTGTTAGGTGTTACATTTGGCAATGGCATTAACCACATGTAACCCTGTTCAGGCTTTCCTCAATCAGGATATGAAATCAGGAATGAAACTGAACGGGAATCCCCAGAGTGAATATAGCTGGTGCTAGTGCAATGTTTAATTGTTGAGGGGAGTGTTATATGCTTATGTCTTTTGCTGTTTATATCTTTTCCACTTCAGATTTTCCCATCCCACTGTTGTGAGCTGGGTTTGCTCCCTTCGCACATGCAGAGCCACAGACCCTCCTTGCAAAACATTATTTATTGACCAAAGCACTTTCCAGATGCCCAACACCCAGAATTAATCTCTGGGCACGCATGGAACAGTTCGTTGAACACAATCTAGTATTTGTTTCCAGGAATTCTCCTTATGAGCATGTCTCGACTCCATCCCTTGAGAAAGGAGCCTTCTGAAAATGGGCACACCTCCTCTCTGCATGCCAATCCTGTAGTTGGGTCTCTCTTTTCTGCTGATGATGCCTCATAGGGTCAAGAGCCGTGCCCACCTTGTCTCTGCCTGAGAAACTCTCGTCCTAGTAACTGTACATCTTGGTTCTTCCCGGAGATTGCCTGCCTACCTGGGAACTCTGGCTTCAATAAACACCTCTGCTTCTCTCATGTCAATGTCTGGGATGACTCACTTTGCCAGGTCCTCTGCTCCACCTCTCCTCCTCCTGAATCTGATTCTTTTGGAGACTGGCCAGCAGCCCCAGCATGTGCACCCAAAGCAGCCCTCCTTCTCACGCCCAGCCCCCACCCCAGCTGTTTTTCCACCTTTAAGGCAGTATTGTTGTCCAGGCCAATATGCGTTTCGAGCCCCATAGAGGGAAAAGTAAGTGGAGTGTATGTGTGCATGTTTTGGATTATGGGAAGGGAAATGGCTACATTCTCATCACAAAATTACTTTAAGAATAATGTCCTCTGGGCTTTAAAATGTATATAATGTGTAGTTAGCTTTGGAACAATGCTAATTCAACATGCCTGACTCTTAAAAGTCACACGGGGAACTAAACTGCACTTGTAGTCAGGTTTAACTCAAGTTTGTGCTGAAGTGCCAGACAGTTGGTTTAACGTGGCGCCGGCCTCACTGGTAGGACGTGTCCCCCCGGAATGTGTTCCTTGTCTACTCATGGAGAGTTTTGGGATGATTTCCCGGGAGGTCTCTGAACGAAACAAAGCTAACTTCCTGTAGAGCTGCCATGAATGTGATGGGGTCACATCATAGGAAAATGGAACTGCTGTGGACATATGTCTTTGCCATATGGTAATTCATCGAAGTGCAGTTTGGAGCACTCCATGCAGAACTGCAGCTCCCCAGGGCAATGCAAATTGTGCTGACTTGTTGTGGGATAGAATGTGTAATGCAATTTGTGCTGGTCATGAATCTTAAATCAGCATAAATGATTGGCAGCAAGATGTTCTCCATATCCTGAAACCTTTTCAAGGAGCTGTGTGATGGCTGTTCACACATGCTCTGAAAAGTACTGCACAATTGTTATTTTAGGAACAGGACTCCCCATTTGTCTATATATAATCCCCAAATAGCCAAATATATAACTTCTATAGCCCCCAAATAGCCAAAGCTCTCTATGTGGTTTACAAACATTCCTAAACAGGTCCATGTTTCTTGAACCTTGTCCTTAAAAAAGACTGTCCCCCAAATTTCATGGGAAGAATGTATTTCATGGTGTCCTTTGAAAGAAAAGAAAAGAAAAAAGAAATTGAAAAGAATTTCATGATGTCCTTTGCTTACTAGCCTAGTTATGATACAACTGCATTTTTTCATGAGATACCTGTATTGCCTGTTTACAAGTAGAAACCTAGCAGTCATTTCAAATGGCGGTGATTCTGTGATTTTTGCACATGTGTGAATGTTCAGAGCGTAGGGCAACAACAAAGCAGGACAGGGCAGCAACCATGTGAGACAAGCAGAAAAGACTCTCCCTGATAACAGGTAGAACTGATGAGCCGTGTTGGAGTTCCCATAGTATGTGAGTTATGTATGAGCTTTAATAAATGTTCCTATATGGCACAGGCTAACCAGGGTTCTAGTGTTAGCTATACATTCCATTAGCTAGTCTGTTGTGACAATCTGTGTATGCCATTTAAGTTGACATTTTGCTGACTTCCCCTTGCCTCTGTTAAAAAGAAGTTGTATTCTTTACTAAAGTTCACTCATGCAAATGTTCAGCTGCATGTTCAGGTTCCTTGCCAACAAACTCTACATGAAACTGTTATTTAAGCTATCAATATCAGTTTCATAACAACGTGATCATTATGACAACTGAATGTTTCCCTTTAGAATTCTGCGAACTGTATCTGGTGATGTTGCTGATAATTCTTTATTTGCAATCCTTTGGGCAGAAGCCAGTGTGATACTTTCGCCTCCACTTATTCATTGTGCATAGATTGTGTTGCACAACTGGTGGGTCCCATGGGTTCTGTTCCATTGGCACAGCAGAGATTGAGCACTTCCCACAGGGAGCCCTGTGAGATTATGTTTATGATGATTATGATTATTATTCGATTTATATCCTGCCTTTTTCCTACAAAGGGCTCAAGGCAGCTTACATCATTCTCCTCCTCCATCTTATCCCCACAGCAACAACCCTGTGAGGTAGGTTGGGCTGAGAGTCTGTGACTGGCCCAAAGTCACCCAGTTGGCTCCATGACTGAGCGGGGACTAGAACCCAGATCGTCTGAGTCCCAGTCCCATGCTCTTAACCACTACACCACGCTGGCTCTCTCCATAAAGGAAGCCACAGCCTTGAACTCAGAGCTTAGCAGGGCTGTCATAGACAGGGCATTTTGGAGGGCTTCCAATTATAGGATTGTCATAAGTCAGAAACAGCCTGATGGCTTGTAACAACAGCAACACAGAAAGCCCTAAATTCAGTGGAAACACTCACCTCAATTGGCACAGGTCATCAGAGCATCTATATGGCAGCTTTGCTGTCCTGCCCTACCCTAGAAATGAGCATTTTCACTCTTTTCTGGTTGCTCCCTGGAAGTACTAAATCTGCAAACGACGGCACTGCTTGCAAATGAGACTTGACAGAGTGTGAGAGATTGGCAGAATTGATTGCTATTAAACTGATGTAAGTTAATTTGGATGTATAATTTGATTTTTGAGTAGAGATGCTTCTGTTTCATTCATTTTGGGTTGAGCACAAGACTTTCCTCTAGTGCAGACATGACCCTCTAGAGTTAATCTTGTGAAACATACTGAAATTGGTGTGCTGTATTTAAGCTATTTAAATTCTGGTCTTATAACTTGGCATATTACATCTGTCTGCAGGAGACTAGAGGATGCGGTGTCAATATACTATGATGAATTGTAGTGATACATGAAGATAACTGTCCAGTGCTCCCTTCCCAATTTCCTGGTCTTTACATATCTGGTCTTTGTCTTAAAGGTGAAACAGCTGTTCACTGATGGACGCAGAATTATTACCTATCCCAATGGGACAAAAATGGAGATTAGTACTGACAGAAAGACAACAGTTATTACTTTTTACAATGGAGATGTTAAGAAGATCTTGCCAGATCAGAGAGTGGTGTGTGTATTTATTTGCTTCTCTTTGCTTTAGAGTATGACTTTTATGGAGAATTACGTGATTTGAGTTTTGAGTAGTGTATTGAGCTAAATGGAGCCTTAACTGAGCTAAACTGTCTTTTCTGTATTAACAAGGCTTCCACGTAGCATAGGCTGTTTGCCAGAGGCTCCCCAGTGTGCCCAGCAGACTATCAGGCATACCATGTGTCCTTGACCACTCCCTCCCCCATCCTCCCCCACAATTCTTCTTTGGGTATTCCAGGGGGCCCTGAGGGAGAGCAGGCGTCCCCTTGCTCCCCGTGGTGGCTGTGGCAGGGAGCAGCAGGACGGGAGCAGAGATCCATTCAGCTGACTGGAAGCTTTCCAGAGCTGGGATCAGTTTGGCTGACTTGGAAGTGGGCCAGTTGGCAAGTTGGCCAGCTCAGCGTCTGTGCCACTGCTGCATGGTCGTGCTTTGGTGATGCAGGACGGCAGAGCTGGGGCCATTGCCCCTGAGCGGTGTGGTCTGCCATTGGGTTGAGGAGCTTGGCTGGGCAGCAGGCAGTGGAGGACCAGGGACTGCAGTGCCCACTGCCATGCCAAACTCCAGAAGGGGCTCAGCTCGGTGGCAAAGGAGTGGAGAGATCTTCACTTGGGGAAGTGGAAACCTCCACTGTGCCTCTGAGCCAGGCATGGTGTCTTTTCTCTGCTTGTGCTGCTGGCCCGAAAGAGGTGGCAGGGGCAGCAGCAAAGTGATGATTGCTTGCACCAGTACTGGCATCCCAGGATGGCTGTGGGTGGTAGCAAGGAACAGGGGAAGCCTCTGACAACCACCCCGAGTCCTGCTTGGACAGCGTGGGAGCAGCTGTCAATGGCATGAGCCACTGGGCAGGAGCAGCAGGAGAATTTTCCTGCTCTTGCCAAGCTGCTTGTTAGTTCTGGTGGTTTGCCCATGAAGGGTCATGTCATCTGGGTTCAGATGGCAACAAGGATGCATCATAGGCTCAACCTCAACAAGTCATGGGTAATCAGGTTGACTTATAACCCAAACTGCAGCCACCTGGACAAAGCCATCATGATTTTGCACAAGATTCCATGCCACTGAGGCATATAAGAAAAGGCATGTCATGAATATCTCCTCGTTAATATCTCCTTTTCAGAATCAGGCTCAGTATTATTTCAGCTTGTTTTCTGCACAGACCTCTGTAGTCAGCATTTGCCGCTATCCCTGCTAACCTAATGAAGTTTTAAATACATAAATGTTTATGTGCTTTAAATAATTAAAAAGTAGACAATTCATGTGAAATGGAGAAAGGGCAATACTGAAGATGAAATCATCACTGGATATTGAAGTATGCTTGTCATTTCTGTTGCCGAGACAAAAGGAAGCTGCACTTACCCTGCAGATGGGGAAAAATCTCAGCCCTTTCTGATTCTTTGGAGTTGTGTCTCATACACACCAGCAGTTCAAACATTTTCAAGCCTGTGCTTGTAGCACTAAGACTAAAGAGTTACACACTCCCATCCTCCCACCCTTTCTCTTCCATGTGTGCTTGTGTGTACACAGAACACACACATTTTTCTCTCCCTATTCACTGCAGATCATACAACTGAAAGAAATTAGTACAGTCATCAGTCAGCGCTTCACCTTTGCAGCTAGTTTTCACAGATGTCCTAAATAAAAAGAAGTGCCCCACAACTGGTTGAATGGGAGAAAACATGGTAAATAAAACTTCATTGTTCTTCTTACAGATTTATTATTATGCAGATGCCCAGACAACCAGAACTATCCACCCGGATGGCTTGGAGGTGCTGCAGTTTCCTAATAACCAGATAGGTATGTGATGTTACCATGAAGTTGCAGGCATATCTCATTGGTATATGTAGCCTTTTGGTAAAAAATACATTTTCAAACTGCCTTTTCCCTCTGTGAAGAAAATCCATGTATATATCAATGGTGGAAATGTTATTATATGAATTCATAAATCTTAAATGGAGGAGTTTATATATTTGCCTCCTACTGAGAGTATGTCTTTACATGTTGCTCACCAAGGTAAGTCATGCAGACCTGTGTTGAAATCCCCACTCACAGTAACTTGCATAATCCTTCGCCTACATAATCTTTCTCTTCTCTATTTTACCCCATGAGGTAGGCTAGGCTGAGGGAGCTTCATGCCCAAGTGGGGACCTGTACTCGGATCTTCTGAGTCCTAGGCCAACACTGTAATGTGCTGTGCCACACTGGCACTCAGATGATATATCTGCCATCAGCATATGGTGATTTTCCCACCCCTGCTCTATTACAGTAATTGTAGATACCAGAGATGTGTAGAAAATCCCTGGGCCATTTTTGTATAGAAGTGAATTTCTTTGTTTCTAATATGTTAACTTATAAGAAGTGTCCTTTATAGGGGGAAAAATCATTGGAATTACATCAAAATTAACTTGTATTTCTTCTTGACTGTATGCTACACCTTTTTTAAAAGAAAGAAATAATGTTTGTTATTGTTCATGTATCATCAGCTACATTCTGCTTAGAAAGCACTTACCTAAAATGCAGGCCCTAAATCAGGGAGGAGAAGTGCTTAGCACATCTAAAGTTATTTCAAACATGCTGGTTGGACTTCTGTAACACGCGTTACGTGGGGCTGCCCTTGAAGACTGTCCAGATACTTCAGATGGTTCAAAATAGAGCTGCCAGGATGCTGTCGGGGACTGGCCATTATTCTCATAAAACCCCAGTCCTCTATCAGCTCCATTGGCTTCCCATCGAAGTCCGGGCTCAATTCAAGGTGCTGGTTATTACCTATAAAGCCCTAAATGGCTTGCAACCAGGATACCTTAAGGAACGCCTTTTTCCCTATTTGCCCTCCTGCCCCGTGAGATGGGCAACAGAAGCCCTCCTCCGGGAACCCTCTGTGAAAGATATTAGGAGACAGAGTACCCAGAGGAGGGCCTTCTCTGCAGTGGCGCCCCGACTATGGAATGTGCTCCTCAGAGAGGTCTGCCTGGCGCCGTCATTATTTGTTTTTCGGCGCCAGGTTAAGACCTTTTTATTTAATCAATATTTTCAATTCAATAATACTGAATTTTGCTATTGTATTTGCAGCCAGAGTGGGTCGTCAGTTTATTTATGCTGTTAGCCATCCAGAGACGTTAGTAATTGGACGGCATACAAATTTCATAAATAAATAAATGCCCAAAGTCGTATATAGTACATGTACATCCTATGCACATTTGTGGAAGTAGCATGCTCGTAGGTGATCAGACATTAATGTTTTATACAGCATACACACTGAGACTCCATTACCAGCCATGTTTCTAAGGAGATTTTTATGATGTTGTTTTTTACAGAAAAGTACCATCCTGATGGTACTGAGGAAATAGTGTTTCCAGACCAGACAGTGAAACGCCGCTATGACGGAGGCCTTGAGGAAACTGTTTTCCCAGATGGCACTGTTGTGAAAGTAGAAAAGTAGGTAATAAAAGGGCTATGACTCAAGCAGTGGATAAGGGGAACCATTTGATAGAAGGGGTATTTTAGCTTACCTGCTGATGGAGTGGGAAAATCTGTCAGAACGCGTGTGATGAGGATAATCCCATTTATTGAGTACAATATGAAGTTGTACTAAAGGGAGTCTTAAGGTACTTTTAATCAAGCAGCTAACAAAAGCTTTAGTAACATACAAATGGGTTCTGCTACGAAAATATTTCATCCTTAGCACTGTTCCAGCCAGCCAGCCAGCCACGTCCTCCTTCACTATACTCCATTGCATTCCACCTCCCATCTGTTTCCTGCTACAGAAGTAAGTGAGCATTCTGTGGTCATGGAGCATCCTCAGTCCTCACTGGGCTGTTTCTTCACCTTGGAGTTCCATATAAAGATTTGTTTTGTACTTCTTCTGCAACCTTGGGGTTCCCTTGGATCCATTTCTACCCACTTCTAGTGTAGGTGTAGAGGTGCCGCTTTAACCATATAAATATACGTGAACACTGAAAATAGAGAGGGATGTGAATATGACTTACAATAGGACACAAACTAGTACGTTTCTGGATTGGACCATGAAGCACAGTGCCAACCCCAAGTGCTCAATTGTGTGGTACAAGAGTTTGTGTGCCCCACCCCCTATGTTAGTTCCTAATTCCGAGGAACAATCGATATTCTACTGGCATGGCATATTTGACCTCAGAATTTGCATTGCAATGAGCTGTAAATTAATTTTGACCCTGTAATGAATCAGATGACCTGCTTTGCTTGCCAGGAGCCAATAAAGTCAAGCAGTCATCAGCACTGGCCCTCATTAAAACAAAATAGGTGAATCCCTACTTCATAGTATAAATTGCCCTAGTCCCATAGGCTGGCTGAGCATATGCATTATGGTGCTGCATAGGTCCCCAAATATCCATATTTCCCCCCTGGCTAAAACAAAACACTTGTCTGGATGGGCACCTGAGCTTCCTTAGTGGAGTTGCTGCTAGGTGTAAAGTGATCCTTGCTAGGATCCCCTTTGGTATGAGCAAGGCTGCTGTGGACATACCCGATTTCCCCAAAAATAAGACTGGGTCTTATATTAATTTTTGCTCCAAAAGACGCACTAGGGCTTATTTTCAGGTGATGTCTTATTTTTTCATGTACAATAATCTACATTTATTCATTTACTCATGTACAAAAATCTACATTTATTCAAATACAGTCATGTCATCATTTTCTGGAAAATCATCATAACTATCCGAATTGTGCTGCAACTGACATACTAAATAGGTCCGTCTGGCTGATGATCTTAAGTGGGGCTTATTTTGAGGGTAGGGCTTATATTACGCACATCCTGAAAAATCATGCTAGGGCTTATTTTCTGGTTAGGTCTTATTTTTGGGGAAACAGGGTAGGTACTTTGAAGTGTAATGTTTAATTTTTTTGTTCACAGGAATGGAGTTAAAACCATCCAGTTCCGCAATGGGCAGACAGAGATTCACACTGCACTGTCCACGAGAAGAGAGTACCCAGATGGTACTGTCAAGACTGTCTATGCTAACAGAGGACAGGAAACCAATTATTCTTCTGGGAGGGTTCGAATTAAGGATGAGAAGGGGACCCCCATGCCTGACAAGAAGTGATTCATTCCTCTAGGTGGTGTTCTTAGAGTCATGCTCTGTTATATTATATTTCATTTTTGTACCATATTTTAGCCAGAAACAGTCTCCAAACTGGCTCAAGCAAATTTTTTAAAAAGTGCAAAATTGAAACAATATGGTAAAATACAATCTAGAGCAACTGATCTTGAGATAGCGCTGCATCAATAACATCTTTTTAAAAGGCAGAGAAATATACAACATGGAGGTTAAAACCAATAAGCTCTGCCATAGAATAAAGGACAGCTAAAAATGATGACCATTACCATCTGTTGAGAGGGAAAGTAAAGGAATATGCACCTCCTGGAGTTCTAAAACTGAGGAGCCGCTGCAGAGAATGACTGATGGTACAATGACAGGATGCCAGGCAGGGCCCCCTCTGTCTCATGAGTCTTCTGTGGGGGTAGAATGTCCTTCAGATACCTTGGATCCAAGCCATTAAGCAGTATAAGTAAAAAAACCAGCAGTTTGAATTGGGTTTGGAGACAAACCAAGGAACCACTGTCACTCTAAAAAGAGTCAGTGCGATATAGTGGTTAGACTGTGGGAGACCTGGGTTTTGACCTCACTCAGCTGTGAAGCTCACTGGGTGTCTTTGGACTAATCACTGACCCTGAACCAAGCTTATCTCACAAATTGGTGTGAGGATAATATAGAGAAGAGGAGAACCTTATTACATGTCTTGAGTCCCTTGTAGGAAAAAGGTGGGATAGAAATGTAATATGGGTAACATCTTCCATATAGCTATCTCTAGATCCTAGCCAGGTATTCCAGTTGTAGTTCCCTACACTTTTCGAAGTCAGCCTCACATAGATGCTGTTGGGATAGATTGGCCTTTCCCAAACTGGTTCTTTCCAAATGTTTTGTTCTACAAATCCACAAATTATTGACCATTTGTGATACCACTGGAGGCTGATGGAAAGTCAAGTCTAAAACATCTGGAGGGCACCAGGTTGGGGAAGCCTCAGTGGACTGTGGCAATGGTGAGATCTGCATTCTCTAGGAAAGGTAGCATTTGGTGCACCTAAAGATGTACGTATAAAAGTGCTCTAGGTCTCAACTGCTATATGACTATTCAGAAACAAATCTACATCCAGACATTTAGTTAATCCTTAGAACGAATCCAACCCTTCCAGAACAGGAGGAAGACTAACTCCTGGATCAGCTTTTAATGATCAGCAGCATTTTATTTCCACCATCTCTGAACAAAGGCTGCATTTGTTAATCCAAATCCAGCCCATGACTGCTGTGGGACCTCAGTCTGTGTCTTCCTTGAAATAGATAGTGCCAAGTGCCATCCACCTATTGATGACAATGCGCTCCAAACTCATGGATGAGCTCTCTCTTGATTTCATGTCGATGTAAAAAAGCACAGGGGACAAGATGGATATTTAACAGGAGGCCCCTTGAAGCACTTTCTGTAACCACACAATACAATGTCACCTAGCCCTAACCCAGCAGGATGGTTCAGAATAATACTATGGCTGATAATATTGAAAGACATGGAGAGGTCCAGTAGAACTAATAGAAATGCACTCCATCTGTTCCCTCCCCGTTAGAACTCATCTACCAAGGCAGATGAGTCCCAAATCTGAGCCAGATTTCTGACTGAAATGGGTCTAAATAATTTATCTGATCCAAGAACACCTGTCCTTGGGTCACCACTTTTCACTTTGGCAACTTGCCCCAACAAGGGAGATCGGAGACTAGCCAACAATTATCCGAGGAACAATCATCCAATCCAATTGTCTCTCAGCATAGACTTCTTTAATGTTACACGCAGCTCCCTCTTCCTGTTTGAAATGTATGTGTAGCGCAAGAATTTTTCTGCTTTGAGGTCTGTGTTGCTTTTCAGCAGTGTCAATGGCCATGTTTCCAATGGTGTCCTTCCCGGTGTTGTTTATGTATCTGCTCCAGCAATGAAAAGGGGCTCAGCTACAGCCTTCCCCAGGAAACCTGGCACTCTCCAGTGCTGGAACTGCAACTGGCCACACTGGCTGGGCATTAGGGGAGTCGCAGTCCAACTCATCTGGAGAGTGCCAGGTGGAGGAAAGCTGTTCTAGTGTCATGACTCATGAGCAGAGGAGTGTGTGAGATGCTCATATCCATCTTGAATATTCATCTGTGCCCCAGTGGAGTAGGAGTCTTACGCAACAGGCAAGAGTTCTGCAGTGGTTACATGAACTTGTTCATTGTGCTATAGAAAATAGTTTTCTATTTTCACTATTGTAATATAGATGCTAAACTGGAACCTAAAGTTTGACATGGGAAAAGGTTTATAAGAACGAGTTTATAGAACAAGCCAATTATGGACTAGACCAACTTTCCCCAAACTAGTGCCCTTCAAGTGAGTTGGATCTGAACTACCAGCAGTCTCAGCCAGACTGACAAGTGTAGGAATGCTAGGAGTTGTAATCCAAAAGATTTGGAGGGCACCAGGCTGGGTATGGCTGGATTAGACACCCCCCCAAACACACACACTTTTTCCACTATTCTGATTTAAATGCATTAATGTAAATAATAAAGTGTGTGCATATCTGTTTGCCAATTTCTTTCTTCTCTGGAAAAAAAAACACTGTAAGGAGCTGGTGTGAAGCTTTCCACTTTTATGCTTATATTGAAAACAGAATTATGCAAGAGACTAAAAAGAGAAAGCACAGAGTGGGAGAAATTATATTTCCAAGGTTTTTTACATAACACACTGCATTATTACATGATTAATTTCATACTGTGACTAAATGAAAGAGGAATTGCTGGAGCACAGTTAATTTACCGACTCAGATAATTAAGAAGCTGCTTTCACCTTAGCTGTAGAAAGGGGCTGTAGCTCCACTCCAGAAATATTTGCATGTTGCTTCCCATGAGGATTCCCACACATGTAGCTTTATATTGTCATATTTGAGCTACCAATGAGCACCTAGCCCTTCTACTAAATGTATGCCGTCTCTCAAGTTTCTTCCTCAAGCTGGTACCATCAGATGAGTTGCACTGTGACTCCCATCACCTCTAATCACCATGGCCATCAAGCAGTGCATTGATCTCCAGTGACTCTTCCTCATACATCAGCTTTATCAGTGTGAGCTGGATAATCACCTGCAGACCATGATCTCTGAATCTGTCCAGGTCATCAAAGATGGAACAGAAAAGAAAAAGGAAAAGATCACAGTGCTGCCACAGCATCCTATATGAGCAGGCATTCCTTAAATACCATAGCCAGTTTTTCATATACTGAGCATGCAATTCCATCAACGTGTGTTGACGGGCTAAAAGGACATCGACAGAAATGCTACTATGTTGGCAGAATTTGCGTTAAAGCAAGCAAAGTAATGCTCAAAGGGTTACTACCCTGTATGGATTGAGACATGCTGGACATCCAGGCTGGATTCCAAAAAGGAAGAAACACTAGAGATGGTAATGCAAATATATTCTGGATACTGGAGTACATCAAATAATAATAATAATAATAATAATAATAATAATAATAATAATAATAATAATAATAATAATATAATAAAAAAGATCAGTCTATGTTTTATTGACTACAGCAAATGTTTTGACTCTGTGGATCATGACAAACTATGGATGGTCTGGAAAGAAATGAGTGTGCCTCAGCACTTGATTGTCCTAATGGCTAACCTGTATCACAGACAAGAAGCTACTATTATGACAGAAGAGGGAGAAAGGCAAAGATGTCAGACAAGGATGTATTTGATCTCCCCATTTGTTTGATCTGTATGCAGAACATTTCATAAGGAATGCTAGATTAGGATCAGAGGAAGAAGTGAAAACTGGTGGAAGGAACATCACTAATTTAAGATATGCTGAGGATACCATACTACTGGCAGAACACAGCAATGAAACAACTCCAGATAAAAGTGAAAGATGAAAGCACGAAAGCAGGACTGCAGCTGAATATTGAGAAAACAAAAATTGTGTCCACAGAATCACTGCAGAATTTTAATTTCAGTAATGGATGAATCAAAATTGTGAAAGATTTCACATACCACAGCTCAGTCATCACTTCAGAGGGAGCCTGCAGCCAAGAAATTTGAATAAGACTGAGACTTGGGATGGCAGCAATGAAGGTACTAGAAAAGTTAATCAAATGTAAGGGTGCTTCACTGGAGTCCAAGGCCAGCATCATCTAAACTACTGTATTCCCAATCTCTGTGTATGGGTAGAAAGCTGGATAGTGAAGAAAGCTGACAAGAAGAAAAGTGATGTGTTCAAAATACGGTGCTGGAGAAGGAAATTGCATTAAGGAAAGACAAAGGTAAAAGATGAAAGGGAAGACCAAATATGTGATGGATTGAAACCATGAAGGAAGCCACAGCCTTGAATTTACAAGGGCTGAACAGGGCTGTCAAGAACAGGGCATTCTGGAGGGCTTTCCTTCATAGGGACACCATAAGTCAGAGATGACTTGACAGCACATAATGCACACACCACTTTCCGAGAGGAACAATGCCAACTGGGCAATATAGTCCATGCCAGGGTACCTGCACCGACATTGCAACTCAGATGTTGTACTGGCCAAAACTGGATGGAGATGCTGACAGGTTAGTAGGGAGAAGACAACTCAAATCCTAGTCACCTTCAGATCTTGACCAAATATTTGGGCTGACTACAGAGCAGGCACAATCCACCAACTGAACTCCCTGAAGTGGGGAAGAATATTGAAAATCCATTGGATCCTACAGCAGCATTGTATTGGTCAATCAAGCTCAATATTCTCTATATTGACTGAAAGTGGATTTCCAGAGGCTCAAACGGGGGTCTTTCCAGCTCTATCAAGAGGCTAAACTGGGACACAAGACCAAGCATGTAGCCCCACACACAGGAAAGCTCCCTGCTGGCAGTTCTCACCCAGCCATTGCAGCTGTTAACCACACACTGCTCCCTCCCTTTGCTTTGTGCAAGCAAGGTGGTGCTTCTGAGGAGTGTGCCGTAGTTCTGCGGGCAGGAACTCCTGGGGACCCTCAGCAGCTGCCTGCGCCACAGTAGCTCTACCATAGTGGGTGCTCTGGTGTCACTACGCCTAACAGGTTGGGTATGGAGTGAGGCAGCGAAGTGTCCTGAGGGAGGGGGCATGCCCATCACCAGGAGCGGAAGGGCAACATCAACTGGGAACTGAACTGGGAGCATCATCACTCAAGGTGATGATGCACCTTATGCTCACTCAAGGTGGCAGGGGCCAGCCATGTTCCTAGCTCTCTGGAAGGTGTGGGGCTGTGTGATTCCTCTCCCCTGTGCTGGGATATGGCAGCGTGTGTTGTACTGCCACTGCACTCATTTATGGGTGCTCTGGGGTCAGTGGAGGATAGGATTGCTCAGCCCATTTCTCTACAGGTCAAATAAGCTTTTATTTAACTTTGGGTGTTCTGGTTGCAATTCTTTGCTCATTAACTTGTGCATTTCCTGTATTACACTTTTGACATTTATCTCATTCCTAGATGCTTCAAGTACTGCGTCATTGAAAGGAAATATAAGGACAAAGTCACCTACGCGGGGGAATGGCTTTTTGTCTTTATCAGAGAGGAAATATGGAGGGATAGACGGCTTCTGGGTATGGGGCTCAGTTGAATTAAACCAGCGGGTGGACTGGATGGGCTCACATACAGAGTAACTAGTTCTTAAGAGCGCTTTGCTTTTAGTGGATGGCTTTGATTGCACTGGCGTTTTTGGCATGTTCATCCTTTCACGCAACTGGGAGGTCAGCGTTTTCTTGGGGTATGCGCTGCCTGTTCTGCCAAAGGTTGGAGTGCTTTTATTAATCTGCAAGAGTGATGAGGAAGGGGAGGCAGCTGCAGACTTGGTTTCCTTCCTTCCAGCCAGAAAATCCAGTGAGACCTCTGCCTGACTAGTCAACAGACAGCGGGTTTGGCTAAAGCATGAAACTTTCCGAGTTGCCCCTTTGTTCTTTCTCGAAGTGTCAACCTCCTTGTAGTTCAACAGGTCTATGATGTCATGGAGCAATCCCCTTTTCACAATGGCATCGGTGGCACAGTCCAAACGCAAGCCTGGGCTATGGTTCACTTCCAGAAGCCAGGGCTTCATCTTGTCATCCACCAGAATGTCAAACCCAAAGAGCTCAAAGCAGTTGCAGGTGAATGGTACTGATGGGGTGATCGCCAGCAAGGTAAGTGTGATGATGTAATTGATCCTCTTCCATAGGCGCAGGTCATCCACACTGCGGCTACGTAAGTAGGCCCGGAACCGGCTGAAAGTCCATTTACAACCAGAACCAACAACATCTTTATCCTTTCTATATGAGGGTCCAAATTTATTTATGCTGGTGTTGGTCAAGTGGGCATAAACATTGTCCAGGGATTCAAGGTCAAACTTCTCTGTTGCAAACCTCACCAGCCCTTCCTCATAGGTATAAATAGTGAGGGGACAGAAGCTGGTGACACAGACATAAAGGCGGAGATCCCACTTGTATCCAGAAATAAGCAAAGGGTTGCTGATGTACTTCTGCACAATGACCATGCAGTCATAAACAAAGTCTTTAATGTCCTGAAAAACCAGGATGCCCCTTCCACGAGACCTGTCGACAGGTTTGCAGATCCAGTAGCTCAGCCTTTTGCCTGGCGTTTGCCTCTCCTTGGTGTATTCTGATATAAATTTTATGTAGTCATTGGGCATGATGAAGGCTGCTGGGCTGAACTCGTAGAGAGTCGTTCCATAGATTCCCTTCATGCGTTTGAGGTGTCTTGCCAGATAGTCTTTCCTGGTGATCCTGATGGTTTCTGGGTGGTGGTTGAGCCTCTGCCACGGCTTAACTGCCCGGTGCTCTGTCATCCGGAAAGGATGATTCCGCCAGTATAGATTCCAGTCCTCATTGTCTTGCTCATGCTCATCATATTCAGTCCAGCCACGTTCCAATAAAATCTCGCGGACCAATGCAGGGACACCATCATGTAGCCGGAAGACTAGTGGCCTAACGGTTCCTTCTGAATCAGTTCTTTTTGCTGCTGCAGTGCTTTTATTTTCTGGAGAGAAACAAAAAGCAAGGAGAGAAACAAGGCTGAAACAATTGATTCAATTAGTTTTTGTAATTTAATATGTTACTTAGGTTACAACCTGAACAATCCTGTACTGAAAGTTGAACCACTTTAATAGTATTATCTGTAGGAACAGACTTCTTGGCTTAAGGCAATGAAAATGAAATGCATTTTCAGGATTAAATGGAATACAGGTTACAAGTCACGTGGTGCTAAATAGAACGCCTTCCAGTGGCATTAGCACGTCTGGACAAGGACAGGTCATGAGCAACCAGGGACTGTAGTTAGCGTTGTTGCCAAGCTCTACATCCCCACGGCATGTCTGAAATTCTGCTTTACTTTGTGTGGCTTTCCCATAAATACTGTTGGCGTACTGAAAATCTTTGTTTTAAGTGTACATTAAATCAACCCATTGTTTTAAACCAGTGTATTTCACAATTACTGCTAGCTTGTATTCTATTTATTAGATTACTGAGTTGGTTATTGAGATTTTGAATGGATAGTTAAATTATTTGACTTTTGTGAGTTGTCCCGAAGGTCCATCTGGACCATGTGGTGGAGTATAAATGTGGACAACACATTGTTTTCCAAGCTACTCCTTTGCCTACACCACCCATCAGAGCAGGCTCAGCCTCCTGTGCCAAACACACTCCTGCAGCTGAGTATGTGAATGCTTCATGCACTGTCTGTGTTGTCCTGAAAGGTCATGCAACCTGAACCTGCGCATGTTTGCTCAGAAATGAAGGGCACCGGGTTTAGTGGCATTTACTCCCAAGAGAAGGTGCTTGGGGCTGCAGCCATAGCATGGCTTGGAGGAAGGCTGTCTTTGCCTGGTCCCTCCCCATTGCATCTGGCAATACCGTGGCAATACTGTGCTATACCTCCCTATAATGCTCCTAGCTGCATGCATGGATTAGAAGTAGGCATGTGCCTGCCTGCCGTTCCCACACAAGTCAGGTAATGTGTGAAGCATGTGCTTTGTACAGAGACCTGATGCTCACATTTCTCTCCCCGAAGCGAAACAAGAGACCCAGTGGGTCATCACGCACATTGTCTTGAAGACCCCACATCACACATTAACTTAGATGAGGGCCCTGTGCTGCACCAGATGCTGTTGGACTTGATAACACTGCATCCCTTACCATTGGTCTTGCTGCCTGTGGCGGATGCAATATCTACAATATTTTGAGGACTTCAGGTTTCTGGCTGTTGTTTAGATGAGTGGTGAAATATGCTTGGTACTCCTTTGTGTGATGAGGAAGAGCACTACATGGTTGTGTGAACCAACCAGGCTTGAAGTCTTGAGAAGAACCGGGACCCAGCAGGTTGTGCTGGTGAGTTTTGCTGGAAAGAAGGATGCATCTGTGCTGGTAGAGGATGCATGTTGGGTTCTGCCATCAGGGCAAAAGATGGCACAGATTGATTCATATTGCAGGTTCCCAGAGAAATTCAGCTACCTTGGAGGAATTGTCTGAGAATTCCAAACAGGCCTCCTTATATCACAGCCTGCAAAGACTCAAGCAATTGAGCTTGTGAAGGGATTAAAGAGAATGTTTAAAATTAAATACCTTGAGTTGAGCTCCTCACTCTTGACAGACTTTCAATGCTGTGAATATGCAAAAGTAAATGAGAAACTGTCAGATATTATATCACAACCTTTACAAACAAGTCCAAAGAGCTTTGCAAGATCTCTATCCTCTTTACAATGGTCCAGTGATTTAGACAGCTGCTTTTTTTATTTCCCTGTAGGACAATATGTTATTGTAGATATTGGGCTACCAATAAGTAACAAGAGCTATGTATTTCTTGTACCCCCATTTTCTTGGATAACAACAAGAAATACAAGATCTGTGATGTGTCAGCAGGTTGCAAGATGCATCACATTGTTCCCACCAGAAGCGGCCAGCAGGAGGCCAAATAACACATTAAGACTGCCTTTCTCAACCTGATGCTGTCCAGATGTGTACTGGCTGAGGGTGATGGAAGTTTTAGTCCAATACTTCTGGAGGGCATCAGGTTGGGGGAATTTTCAGTTAATTGTCTGAGTATTTGCAAGCTTAAACATTTCATTTTCACCCCCATATTCTTTGGATTTGTAGCTTTTGACATAGATGTGGGCTTTTCGAACCATGATGGCATGGGTGCTTCCAGACAGAGGGATCCTGTCTGGAGATATGGACTGAGGTGTCCTTCCTCAGCGCTGTTGGTAGAGCCAGCGCTGTCTCTTCTTTTCATCAAAACCAGGTGAGAAAGTGGACATTCTGAACCAATGCCTGGGTTCAGTAATGGACTGGATCTGCATCCACAAGGAGATTAATTCCAGACAAGGTATGTATGTATGTATGTATGTATGTATGTATGTATGTATGTATGTATGTATTTATTTAGACAACTTATATGCTGCCCCATCACATGAGCCTCGGGGCAGCTTACAATCATTAAAATCCTGTATAAAATGCAAAAAATTCATCAAATAAATAAAATACATAAAATAAAATAGTGGAAACAGCCTGGTCAATTTAAAATCAACAAGTAAACCATTAACAGTTAAAATAGCGTTTAAATAAAAAGGTCTTGGCCTGGCGCCGAAAAACAAATAACGACGGCGCCAGGGGGACCTCTCTGGGGAGCACATTCCATAGGTTGGGCGCCACTGCGGAGAAAGCCCTCCCCCGAGTATTCACCCTCCTAATATCCTTCATGGAGGGTTCCTGGAGAAGGGCCTCTGCCACCGATCTCAGGGGGTGGGAGGGCATATATGGACACAGGCGCTCCTTTAGGTAACCAGGGCCTAAGCCATTCAGGGCTTTGTAGATGATAACCAGCACCTTGAATTGGGCCCGGACTTCAATGGGGAGCCAGTGGAGTTGACGGAGGACTGGGGTTATATGAGAACAATGCCCAGTCCCTGTCAGCAGCCTGGCAGCTCTATTTTGCACCAATTGAAGTATCCGGATCGTCTTTAAGGGCAGCCCCACATACAGCACGTTACAGAAGTCTAATCGGGAAGTGACCAATGCATGTGTCACTGTTGCCAGGCAGTCGTTCTCCAGGTAGGGACGCAGCTGATGGATCAGCTGAAGCTGAAGGAAAGCGCTCCTCACCACCACTGTCACTTGAGCTTCCAACGATAGCTCTGGGTCGAGGAGCACTCCCAAGCTGTGGACCCTGTCCTTAAGAGGGAGTGCAACCCCATTCAGGACAAGGTCAAAGTCCCCCATCCCAAAGCCCGATCCACCTACCAACAGGACCTCCGTCTTGTCTGGATTGAGCTTCAGTTTATTGGCCCTCATCCAGCCCATTACCTCGGCCAGGCACTGGTTCAGTACAGCCACTGCCTCACCTGGATTGGTGGAAAACGAGAGGTAGAGCTGGGTATCATCAGTGTACTGATGATTCCGCAGCCCACACCTCCTGATGACCTCTCCCAGCGGTTTCATGTAGATGTTAAATAACATGGGGGACAAGATGGAACCCTGCGGAACTCCACGGCATAGCTTCCATGGTGGAGAGCCATAGTCCCCTAGCACCACCTTCTGGAATCAGCCATTGAGATAGGAGCAGAACCACTGCCAAGCAGTGCCTCCAACCCCCAATCCCTCTAGCCTATCGAGGAGGATACCATGGTCGATGGTATCGAAAGCTGCTGAGAGGTCCAGAAGAACCAACAGGGACGCACTCCCCCTGTCTTTCTCCCTGCACAGGTGATCGTACAGGGCGACCAAGGCAGATTCAGTACCGTACCCGGGTCTGAAGCCGGACTGAAATGGGTCCAGATAATCAGTTTCCTCCAAGGGTGCTTGGAGTTGTCCCGCCACCACCCGCTCTAACACTTTGCCCAGAAACAGGATGTTGGCCACTGGTCTATAATTAGTGGCCATCTCTGGATCCAGGGAAGCCTTCTTTAGGACAAGTAGAGGCATTCAAAGTTGGTGGTTCATCTGTAGGGGGCTGAATTTCCCAGAAAGAATCAGATTTGAGGTCTGGGGGTGCTCATGGATCCAGCACTAAAAGCATGGCTGGACACAGTTGTGTGGAGCACCTTTTACAAATGGAGGCTGATAGACCAACCATATACTTATCTGCACAGGGACAGTTTAGCTACAGTTATCCATGCTCTGGTAACCTCATCTGGATCACTGCAATGCACTATATATGGAGCTGCCTTTGAAATGGTCTCAGCTGGCCCAAAATAGGGCAGTCAGCTTGTTAATAGGACTGGCCTGCACAATCACATCATGGCAGCACTTTCCCATCTATACTGCCTGCCATTCCATTTCCTGATTCAGAGTTCTGGTTTTAGTATTCAGGACCATAAAACAGCTTGGGACCAAGTTACCAGAAGGATCATCTCTTCCAGTATAACCTGGCCAGCCCATAAGATCATCTTCCGTGCTCTTTTGCTGAGAGCCTTTGCAAAGGAAGTAAGGTGGGTGGCTACTAAGAAGAGTTGTTATGGTACATGAGCAGTGGAATAATCTCCCCAGAAGGGCTTGCCTGGCATCTATACGGTGCTCCTTTTAGTCTAGGTGAAGACCTTTCACAGGCATTTTTGTTTTTCAGTTTCTCTTTTAAATCTGGTTGTGTATTTTAATTTTCCCCCCATGGCAATTACATTCTGTTTGGTTAATATTTTTATACTGTCATTTTAAACTTTTACAGTTTTATGTTGTATTTGACCATCTCGTATTTTATGGCCCAATTGTTGTGAACTGCCCAAAGAGCTCCTGCTATTGGGTGGTATAGAAATCTAACAAGCTAAGCACTTGCAACTGGGAAGTCATTGTGCAGCAATCGTATATTTGTTTCCTTAAATGTCATGTTTCCTGCTGAGTGCCCAGTTACACTTCTCCAGTGGAGTTTCATCACTGCTTTGGGGATTTTTGTTTTGTCCTGTGTGCATGCAGGCATGCACTGACTTGGGCTTCAGATTCCTCCTCCAGCAGTGGATAGGGTTTCCCCCTGGTTATCACCTAGTGCCAGTTTTAGTTCCTAGGTGATCTTGGAAACATGCCTTTGTTGGCCCTCTTGTCCTCCTCAACTCTCAGCGAGCTCATTTCCTTACTGCATCAATGATGAGAGGGAGGGTGAGTGACCAGGAGCAGGCTTAATCTGGAAGGCTTAATCTGATTGCCATGGGGACTCCAGGGCAGGTAGGGCCTGCGACTGGCAGGGATTGCTCTTCATCTTCAGCCAAAACTGAACCGAAGGAAATCTAATTTGTGACATGGCTTGCTAGCCACTTTCTCATTCAGAAGATGGAGGAAGGGTCAAGGACATCCACTTTGCTCGACTTGTTCCTCACTGACAGTGAGTTACTTTGGTTGAGCCTAATTTTTCAAGGCTGTATGAATTACAACCTAAGGTACTAAAGGAACTTTCAGACCTCTTTCATCTTGGAGAAATCTTGATTGTGCCACAAGCAGGGGAATTCCTAGACTTGGGTACCTGGGCTGCACCCCTATTTTCCAGGGCCTTGAATCTTCTTGAACCCTTGCAGAGTTCTGAATATCCTTTGGTGCCAGTGGAAGGTGTCTTCCTGCTCAGCTCAACTGCCATACCAAGAAAAAATTCAGAGGGGATTGTGGCCAGGGATGGAAAGATTAACTTTCCCACATATCCCACATCCCTCCACCAAAAAAGCCCTTCCTATATGGCAATTAAGCTTAGAAAAAACAAAACACCATCTTCCCATTGGTACCAATGGGAGTGAGGACTTTTTCTAAGCTTAACTGACTCGCAGGGGGGATTGTCAAGGAGCTTGCAGCTGGACAAGGGCTTGTGCTCCCCTCCTTGTATGCTGAGCCATCACATTCCCACCCATGATGCCAAAGATGCTTAGGAAAAGAACCCATGGTGCCAATGGATGGGTTTGCCCACTAAGCTGAATAACACGGGATAGAAGCAATTTGTACTCTGGAAAAGTAACAGAGAGAGGGAATGTGTGAGAGAGGATAGGAGCAAGGGGAGGGGGGAGAGAAGTGGGGGAGCAATAGGTATGTGGGCAAGAAGAGAGAATAAAGGTGTCTGGTGTTCTTCTAAAAGGCTGGGACAATTTGGAGAGGAAGTTCTTCAGATACCCAAGCACGTGTTAGATCCCGTGTGTGTGTGTGTGTGTGTGTGTGTGTGTGTGTGTGTGTGTGTGTGCATGTGTGTGTGTGTGTGTGTGTGTGTGTGTGTGTGTGTGTGTGTGTGGTGAGTGGTATGGTTCCTCCATAGAGAGGTGGTACTTAGTTTGGGGTGTCCTAGCCTGATCTGCTTGTGTCTTCCTCTGTGTGTGTCTGCAGATTTGTATTTGTGGGTGGAAGTCTCCACCCCATGGAAAGACAAAGCCAACAACTGCAGAGAAGAAGTAGGGAGAGGGACAACTTTCTACCCAGCCCTGTCCTTGCTGCCTGTTCCCCTTCCTCATGTGCCTTAAAAGCAGTGTGATCAGCAGGCAGTAGCACATGATCGTGCTGATCTCCATGCTACAAAAAGCATCATGGTTGATTTGTGCCATAAAATGTCCTGCAGCAGAGCTGTGTTTTTCTACCCCATTGGCATTACTGCTATCACTACCACCGCCACCAACTTGCAAAGAGATTCTTTACAACTCAAAATTTTTAACTGGGGGGTATTTTAGAAGTAGCCTGTTTTGCCAGTATGATCCTTCTTTCTTATTATACTCTCGAAGCTGATATTTGATCATCAAACACCAACGTTCATGTGAGAAGACACGTGTGCAAAAGAAAACTTTGCAAACCGTGTTTCTGCTGTAGCTGTACACATCTGATCCTTCCCAAGGTTGCAGTCAGTCTTTTGCCAGAGTGACATCTTGAACATCTTGTGCCTGTTGGGAGTAATCTTTCTCTTGCCATTCTAAGCTCCCATCTTTTAAAGTAAAACTAAGCTTGTAGATTTCTCGGGCTCTAAATCGTTGCCATAGGAACTCATGTTGCACCGCAAATCAAGCATTCCGGCATTCTATTTCCTTGTCCCTCCCTTCTCAGTAGAATACAAGGGTGATGCCTTAATCTTACCTAATTGAATATACAGCTAGAAGAGCTTCTGCAAATGCACATTTATAGAGTAGCCAGGAAGCACCACTAGCCAATATTGAAACCACACAGTGATAATAACAGAAGTTGCACAATTCCTTGTAATCAAAAAGAGCTTTTACAAGAATTGCATTCTAGATTCTACTCGAATGTACTTCTTAAATGTACTTATTATCTAATAAGTAAATAATGTACTTATTACACATTGCAAATAATGTTGTGTTACGCCAATGTTAAACTTTTTATTTATCAGCTTTTAGGCAAGGCCAGAATTCAAAAAGAACTTGAGGTTGTCTATTCAGGCTGCAATCCTATGCACATCCCCCAGTTAAAGATGCATGATCTGGCCATGGTTGTGAATGCTTTACTTACAGCCACTTGGGCTACTGTAACATGCTGGGGCTTGCCCAGTGGAAGCTCCGGCTGCTCTAGAATTTTTTATTTTTATTTATTAAAACATTTCTATGCTGCCCCTTGCCGAAGCCTCGGGGAGGCTTACAACACAATAAAATACAATAAAATACAAAAATAACAATATAAAATTAACAATATAAAATAAATAACAATATAAAAGAAGTCACCCTGGCCAGATAAATAAGCAGATATTTTTAACAATTAAAATGACGTTTAAATAAAAAGGTCTTCACCTGGCGCCGAAAAACAAATAATGACGGTGCCAGGTGGACCTCTCTGGGGAGCGCATTCCATAGATTGGGTGCCACCGCAGAGAAATTCTGCAGTCTGTTGCCCTGGGGCCAGTTACAAGAAACACGCAGCTCCCTTGTTATGGAGGCACCTCTTCTGTTTCTGGGCCGAATTCAGCAGTCCTGGTTATGACCTATAAAGCCCTATCTGGACTGGGACTAGGCTGTGCAAAGGACCACCTTTTCTCATATAAGCCTGCCCAGTTCTTAAGAAGTTATAGAGAGGTATATACCTTCAGAGGCATATTTGGTAAGAACCTGTGAGAAGGTCTTTTTGGTGGCCACTGGCAGGCGGTAGCCAACTCTTCTCAAGGGAAACTAGGTTCACTCACTCTCCCTTGTCCCTTTGCCAGCAGGCAAAAGGCACTGGATTCAAGGCCTTTGTCCTAAGAGTTTATCTTTTGGTTTGGATACTGTTATTGTTATTAATTCTGTGATTTTTTAAAAATATTCTTTTATTTTAATGTACTTTTAAAATCAGTTTCAACTGTGCCTACAAACAGCTTTGAGTGCCATTTTTGATAGAAAAGTCAGGCACAAATCAAATAAGCAAGTTCCAGTGAACTTAATCAACCTAACTACTAAGTAGACATTATAGGGTTGCACTGCTAGTTTTTTTTCTGTATTATAGGGGTGTATTCCCAATTTTTCAATCAGATTCAGGGTTGCTTACAACATTTAAAGACCTAGTAAAGCAAAACAAAAATGTCAAATGCATTGAAAGCTGCAGAATCTGTAAAAACAGTATGGAAAGGTGAAATCTACCAGTGAAGTAAAAACCAACTACCTTAAATGGAAAGGACTTGAAAAATTGCCTGCTGGAAGCAAAGACTAAATAGCCACCTCTCTGGGTGCTTCAGTCACGGAATTCTTGTATTTGCTGCAGATTGCCCTCGGTGCTTCTTTAGGTTCCTTCCAACCCTGTGATTCTAGGATCAATCAGGGACTGTGTGAGCTTCAGTAGTATTAGGGGCATAACCTATATTTTTGTTGAAAGATCACCTGACTGGGGTATTTCAAAGTGCTCAGCCCATTGGATGGCCACCCATTGGGAATCCTGGGAATGGGGGTCCTTGGGAGTCACCATGGAGGCTCCCTATGAGGGCCTCCAAAGTATAGGGGCCTCTAGGAATGGCCCTGTGGCCCCTGGTGGGGCCCTCTGTACCCCACTCATCATCACTTTGCTGAAAGCCATGCTCCTAATACTACCAGGCTCCCTAGAGGGAACATCCCAAAGTTGCCACTGAGAAGGCCTCTTTCCTGGTACACTCCACCTGTGGCCATATCTTAGATGGCACAGGAACACAGAGAACGGCCTGGACAGATGCAGGTGGAGGCGGCAGGCAAAAGCACAGGGAAAATCCTTTAAATAAACAATTGCTGAAGCACCAGCATCATTTGAGTGTAGCGCCTGCTTCCCGCTAGCAATCTAGCAGTTGTGTTCCATATTAACTCCAGTTTCCAAACTGTCTCTAAAAGCAGTTCCATAAAGAAAGTAGTGTACATGTGTGCAATTCCTAGTTGTTGTAGGCATTTAATAAATTATGTACGTATGCATGTGCTAGTATGTTTCTCAGCCCAGCTAGCAATAAATGAATCTTGCTCATTACCCTATTAGTAAAACGGATGTCCTCTGTTTGGATGCATATCCAATTACTGATTAAGTATCAACTCAGAAATCCTTATAACAGCCCTCCAAGATAAGCCAATGCCTCTCCATTACTCTCCCTCAATCTGGTGTTGAGGCTAAGAGTGTCACTTGCCCACGGTCACCAAATGCATTTATCTACGTCCTGACCCCCCTTCTCTTGACCTCTTCCTCATGTCATTCTTGCTGTCAGTTCAATTCTTCCTGTAGCCCCTCTGCTCTAGAGCAAGATGAGATTTTTCCTTCTGCAGTAGAAGACAGTCACATACCTTCTCCCCTGGGAATGTCTGCACCGTGGCACTGGCACTTCCTCACAGGCATCCTCGCAGTCATCTGCGCAACACATCTGGCACATTTTTACCTCGGGGAGAGGGCATCTGTTGGCTTGGAGGCCACTTTGAAGGTCCCAAGAGGAATGTATGGGCTGCCTGAACCAACACTGAGTCCTTGTCCTTGCCCGGATGGTTCAAAGAAAGGACAAGCAGGTGATGAGAGACTGAAGCATAGTTGCCTAGCAATGCAAAACAGATCTTGCAAACAAAGGCAAATGCTTTCATAGACAAGAGAGCCGTCAGCATTCTTTCTTCCCTTCCTTCTTTCCAGGCCCAGCATCAAGGGTAGGCATGGCTGGGGGCTGCTCTGAGCCAACACCCCAGCAGGGGCCTGCTCAGAAGAATCTCCTGGGGTTGCAGCTTCTTGTCACCAGTGCCACTTGCTTGTTCACCTGCCTCTCACCTCTGGCCCAGATGGTGGTGAGAAGGAGGAGCTCATACGTATCTTTGTTTTTTCAGGTAGGATTTCATCATCCCCTTTGGAGACATAGAAACATAGAAACAGAGTGAGTCAGAAGGGGTCTCCCGGGCCATCTAGTCTGACCTCCGGCACCAGCCGGCTCCACTCACAACATGCCCACCATGTGGACGTCCAGCCTATCCTTGAACACCCGCACCGATGGGGCCTCAGCCACCTCCCGGGGAAGCCCATTCCACACCCTCGGGGTCCTGACTGTCAGGAGGTGCTTCCTGGCATCCAAATGGAACCTTGACTCCCTTATCTTTGCTCTGTTGGAGCGTGTCCTGCCTTCCTCTGCAGAGGAGAACAGGTCTCTACCCATCTCCATGTGACATCCCCTCACATACCTGTATGTCTCCAACATATCCCCTCTGAGTCTCCTCCAGGCTGAAGAGACCCAGTCTCACCTCATATGGCATCCCCTGCAAACCGGCCACCAACCTTGTGGCCCTACGCTGCACTGACTCCAACCTGGCTATATCCTCTCTGTAATGAGGGGCCCAAAACTGAGCACAATACTCCAGTTGTGGCCGCACCAGAGTCGTGTAGAGTGGTAGTAATACCTCTCTTGATCTAGAAGCCACACTTCTGGCTATGCAACCAAGGGTGGTGTTTGCCCTCTTGACCACCGCATCACATTGCTGACTCACGTTTAGCCTGCAGTCAACCAGCACCCAGAGGTCCCTTTCACAAGTGCTGCTCTCCAGCCACTTGTCCCCTAACCTGTACTTATGACACCTATTCCTATGCCCCAAGTGCAAGACCTTGCACTTATGCACATTGAACGCCATCCTGTTGTCTCCTGCCCACTCCCATAGTCCGTCCAGATCCTTCTGGATCTGGAGTACCTGCTCCTCAGTTGTGGCCACTACTCCAGGCACTTTTGCTCTTTCAATTCTTGTGTCATTTCTGCACTTAAGAACATAAGACAAGCCATGCTGGATCAGACCAAAAGTCCATCTAGTCCAGCACTCTATACACATTGTGGCAAACTAGCTGCCCACAGAATCCTTCAAGCAAGATGGGTGCAAGACCTCCTCCTGCCCAACAGGGGTTGCAGGCATGCCACCATTGGTGAAGGAGGAAGTGCACAGCTCACAAGGCTGGTAGCCACTGATAGCCTCCTCCCTCATCAATCTGTCCACTCCTTTTTAGGGCCATCCAGATTGGTGGATATCACCGGTTCCTGTGGCAGTGAATTCCACAGTTTAACTACATGTTGTGTGGAGATTTTTTCCCCTTTTATCTGACCTAAACCTCCCATGAATCAGATTCATGGGATGACCCCAGGTTCAAGTGTTACGGGAAGGGAAGGAAAATGTCTCCCTCTACTTTTTCCACACCATGCCTTATTTTAAACTCCTCTACGATATCTTCCATTACTCACCTTTTTTCTAAGTTGAACAGTCCCAGTTGTAGCTGCTCCTCATAGGGAAATTGCTGCAGCCCCCAATCATCTTTGCTGCCCTATCCTGCATCTTGTCCAACTCAACAATGTCCTTGTTTGGGTAAGGTGACCATAACTGAATACAATATTCCAAATGTGGTTGCATTAAGGATTTGTATAAGGGAAGTAAGATTTTGACACCTCTATTTTCTTGAGGTACTCTTCACAATTGAATCCTTCAGTATTTTAATCTCACCATATGAAAAGAGGAGACACAGCCTTTATTCTGTACATGTTTGGTTCTGAAGGTTCCAAGGTGAGAAATGCCTGTTTAAGTTCTCATAATCTGAAGCCGCGCTTCAAGTGGTGCATCTCTATGGTGGTGCGAAGGAGGTAATTTGCATGGGCAATAGATCTGGAATCCAGTTGCAAATGTAGGTCTGTGGTGGTAGAATTTCACTGAGTTCTTGGAAGACTTCCTTAGCAACCCATGTACATAATGCAGAGTTATTCAGAGCAGCAATGCAAATACCACAAGTGGGCATTTCTAAACATCCATGTTTACTAGGTCGGGGTATATGCTGATGTGAAATGTGAGCAAAATTTCCAAATTCATATATTGACTAGGTTTGCAGAAATGCTAAGACACTCGGTATCTGGCTAGCGCTTGGTCTGAACTCCCCTTGCTTCCTGGCAGGTGGGTGGGGGCTTATAAAGCATCCCAACCAGCCATGGCTTGTAGTAGGTTTTAGGAGCAACTGCCCATGATTTGGCACATTGTCCAATGCAAGCTACACCACGGTCAAGCCAAAATGCTGGCCAGCCTCTTGGTCGCAGTGGCAAAAAGGGGTTGCCACTCTGGCCGGGAGACTCTAGCTGCACTTTGCATTGCTGGCACTCGTTTCTCCCCACCAGGGAGAGATGAAAACAGGAAAGGAGGAGCCCTATCCCTTTGCATTGCCCAGTGTAGCCAGCACTTAGCTGAGCACTGAATCTACCAGGGGGTGGGAGGCCCAAGCCACCTGGAACCTCCCCCCCACCGCTTCCAAGACCAGTGAAGTGCTTCCTTGCTCCCACCCCTACCAACTTAAGTGCCTTGCGATCAGTCTGGTTGGCAATGCTAGCATGTCCTGGTCTCGCCACACCCACCCTGCATGTTCATGAGGAGGAGATGTGGGGAAGGAGGCAGCACTGCCTTCCCAAAGCCCAGTTGGGAATTGGAGAGGGGCATGAGGTGGACACCAAGCCCTGCATGCACTGAGGACCGGAGATTGTGGGTGGCACCTCCCTAACTTAACAAGGAGTTCACCAAGAAGGATGGGTCTCCTCACATTGGGCTGCATGTCCCCCAACTCTGGGTTCCCCAGTGTCACTCCTACACTCCTCACAAGCAATCCCAGTCTCTTGGCATCAGCAGGAGTGTGAGCTACGGAAAAGATGACAGCTGCCCAAAGTGCCATCCTGCAGGGCAGAGTGAAGCATAAGATGGACCGCAGCAGCCCATAGCTACCGTCTGGGATGCTGGCTGGAGGAAGGTGGTGGGAAGAAGAGGAGGCGGTGCCTCAGAACCCCCACTGTGCCCAATTGCTAGTTGGGCACAAAAGGGCCCCTCAGACCACCCGAAACTCAGGGTGTTTATGCAATGCATGATTCTTTATAGTTTTTATCTCTTGCGTCTTTGGAAAATGCTGATGTGGGATATGTGCTAATAGGGTTATAAACAGAGAAGAAGCCAGAGGAGGAGCAGGTAATGCAAATGCCACAAAGGTAACTAAACAAGGATTGCAAGCCAGGTCCAAGATTAGCATGCTATCTCCTGGAGTGCACCGGCTCCCAGCATTGCACGGAATTTGTGCCTGGTCCTTGCCAACACCAGAGTCACACGGTTCTTTTATTCCTTCTACTCCGGTCCTGACATTACCTCATCTCCAGGTCTGAAATAGGACACATCCAATCCCCGGGACGGGGAAGGCAGTAGCTCTGTCGGCCATCTCAGATTGCTACTGAATGCATGAGCTCCTGTGACTGCTGCATATGAATCTAGTCTGGATGATAACAGCCGATAATGTCAAAGAAATTGGTAACTGACACAAAGCTAACTCTGCACATCAAATATCAAATCATATAACTTTTTGAAAATGTGGCACATTACTTTGTGTTAGAAGTTTGCACCCATTCACTTCTGGGAGGAGAGCAGTTAGCTTGCACTGTCAATGTATAACTTGCTCCAAGCATGCAACAGATTTAGTGCAAAATGAAGTATTTTGTACTAACAATGTTTACTGATACCTTGTCTGTTTTGCAAAATAAAATCAATTACAATTTTTTTTAAAGAAGTTTTATTATTAGAAGCAACTCCAAACAAAAGAAATCCAAGAACTGCAAGTTCACAAAAAAAGCAAACAAGTATGCATATATCATCATATTATTATCATTGTATCAGCTTCTTAATCTTCTTTCTTAATGCTGAGCCTCTGAAAAGCTTTCCATCCAGTCGTGCACTGTCCCTTTTGAGTTTAGCATCAGCACTTTTCTGCGGCAGCCAGTGAAAATGCACATGAAAGATTAGACTCAGGACTGGCCCACCGTTTCACCTTACCTATGTTGCCTTGATGCTTTGCAACTGGGTTTGCTCACAGCTGACTGACTCAGAGTCGGGTGCTGGTTGAGTATTTGCAGAGTTGGGTGTTCCCAGGGAAGTTTTGGATTCGAGGTACTCGACCATTCCATATAAGACCATGGCCACCACCAGTACAGCCAATACAATGTATAATTTGATGTAAACTTGCAAGAAAGTGCTGTAGCCAAAGGCAATGACAAATCCCAGAGATTCCCACAGGCGGTAATTAGCAAAGGCAGCTTCTTTATGCTTCTCAAACAAAACTCCATAGAGTGCTGTAAACAAAGAAGAATCTGGTAACATGTTATCTTTGAAACCTAAATCCTGACACTCATTTATATCTTCAACAGCAACAGCTACTACCCTTCCTGGAAAAGGTCACACCATAATACAATCACATCTTTTCTTTAGAGCCAGACAACTACTTTAGAATCATCTTATGCCCCTGCTTAAACCACTGGAGCTATTCAGTGTTATGAGTTTCTCCTATCGCCATACAGCCAAGAGTTGGCCAGGGACTTTAACAAAAGATAAATGCAGGAAATTACTTTCCCCTGCCATTAAAAAGTGACTCAGCTGGACAGTTCCTGGTGTTACCCATCAAAGGCACAGAGCAGCTGTTCCATTCTTGTCTCCTTAAGGGATCTTCAGTGCTTAGAAAAAGCAAAGCAGAAGAAGAAGGGAAACATGGCTGGAATGCAAATATAATCTGAACCACTTGCAATATTCTATGGGCAAGGTGGAGTAACAGCTCCCTTAGTTTTGATTGAAAGGACAGGCACAATGCTCCCCAAAGCCAACTCAGTCAAATGCCTTGCTGAGGGGGTGCTTTTCCAGCATTGAACAAGCTGTCATGAGCTTAAAATGGGAATAATTTTTACCCTCTGCTGTATATTTCTGTTTGAAGAGTAACTATTACATGTTATGTAATTTGTATATGAAAGTTGTTTCCATATAGGAATTTATATGCAACCTACATACCACCACACTGGAGAAGATCAAATAAAAGAATAGCTTGCAATCCTATATGCATTTACCTGGGAGAAAACTCTACTGAAAATGGCTAGACTTACCTCTGGATAGAGAGACATGGGATTGCACTGTTAACTTGCAATATGGTAGGCATTTGAAACGCAGACAAGTGAGACACACACATTTAGACAAAGGAAAAGGAAAATGTGGGGGAATTAATCCATGCAATTCCCATTATTAATCTCCAGGGGGAGCCCTTGATCAATATTGGATTCCATAACCATAAAAAAGATCCACTTGAACAGCCACTTGCTTAAAATCTGATAGGTTTTAAGACATTTTGGTCTCCTCAATTCTTCTTGGAATATAATGCGGCTTTGCTAAGAGTTTACTAACACCTTAGGATTGGAATACTAGAATGAGCTGTTTGTGCATAGATTGCACTCCACATAATTCAAGGGTTTTATTTGAGCTCAGCTCTAGAATCTCTTTGAAATGACAGAACCCAGGCCTGCATCATAAGGCAATAATAGGGAGTAGTGGACATCTGAGCTTCTTCCTTAGCAGTGTCTCTCAAGCTTCTTAGAGGTGTTTCCCATCACATGCTCCCAAATTCTTTTTTAAACTGGTGTACCATCTGTTAGCAAAGCCATAGGGCAGCATTCTCCAACCTGATGGCCTCCAGAGCCATTTGGACCTCAACTCCTAGAATTCCCATCCAGCAGGCCACTGACTGGGAATTCTGGGTGTTGCAGTCCAAATGTGCCTGGCAGGCAAAGTTTGGGGAAGGCTGCCATAGGGCTTTACTACAGGAGGCTATCAGCCCAGTGAATCTACTTTTGGTATCATTGCAGAATTGAGATCTGAACACCACACGAAGAGCAGTTTCTATCCTGCTATGTAAATTCTAGGTGGCACTGCAGTATGGCAGGGCAGTGGAAATATACAAGTGGAAACAGCATTTTCTTTTCCCTTTTACCCTAAAAAGACTTGCCAAAAGTTCCATTTACAGAAGGAAGTAAAACCGGAAGATCTAGACATCATCCAAAGAACCTGTAAACCAATCCTCACTTGGTCCAGCCTTATTGTTCTTACAAGACTGTTGCCATGATATTCTCCAGAAAGGAGAGAAAAGGCATGCAAGGGAATACTTAATGAAGCAAGATCTGTTGGTGGGGCATGCAAGTGTTTAGGACAGTTATACCTGAGATAACAATGTAACATACCAAGCGACTTTCTTCTTCTTCTACCCTCCCTCAGTAATGATAACACACATTTTCTTTAGTTCCTCCTCATCAGATACTTCCTAATAGGTAGCCTATTTCTGAGCATTTCTTTCAGCTCTAGGCTCTTATATATACCAATGATACTCCAGTGATGTTATTCCCAGCTATAACACTGGGGGCATGTTTTCATCTTTGATCATGAATACAAGACTGGAGAAAGAATTGATCTAATAACCTCTCCTGACACCATGATGTTAGATTGCAGGTGTTTTTGTTGGCTGCGTACAACACCTGTGTTTTAATGTTCAAAGACCCTGGCAGCAGTTCTCACTGTTGAGGCAGATGGGAAGTGTATTGTTCAGGCTCTGCCGGAATAATTGCAATTCAGTACCTGTTTCAACAGGTAGTGTATTGAGCTTTCTTAGTGTCCAAAAGCCAAAATAGCTTCTTGAAAGCCTGCCAAGGGCTCATGGCTTCCAGCTTGTTCAAAAGAGCCCCAGAGTTGATGTGCTTGAAGTGGCCTTCCCCAGTTTTTCTGCCTTTGCATGAGAACCAAGCTGTTTACCTTACCAAAACAGCCCCCTTCCCAGGAAGGCAGAAAGATCCTGGGTGCACCCCGCCAGGCCCAGCACCACTGAGAGAAAGAAACCACACATGGTCTCCAGCAGGAGATTTCTTTGTTCTCAACCTTGGAGAAGGAATTAACATTTTACTCATCCAGGCACCCTGGGTGCTTCATGAGCGTTCCCTGGCCTATTCAGGCAACCAGCAGGCCACGGAGTAGGGGAATGCAAACTTTTTGTGATGTATTTCATCACTGCATTGCATAAATGGTATATCAACATTGCCACCAATGGTTTTGTTTCCTGCTAAATGTCCTCGGACGTGAAGTAGGTGCCTTGGCTGGGCTAGGACTCTAAAGGTCAGAATTGGAGGGCATTTTGGGGAGCAACATCCTTTATGCTGTATTACAAGTAATACTATATAACTCCTTCTCCATATCTGGGTCCTCCAAATATTACTCGAGAAAAAAAATAAATTGGTTAGAATATAGCTCCTGTAGATGGTAAAAGAAGAAGGGGATGGCAGAGAATGAGGTGGCTGGATGGAGTCACTGAAGCAGTTGGTGTGAGCTTGAGTGGACTTCAGGGGATGGTGGAGGACAGGAAGACCTGGAGGAATGTTGTCTATGGGGTCGCAATGGGTCAGACGCGACTTCACGACTAACAAGAACAACTATATAACTCCTTCTCCATATCCGGGTCCTCCAAATATTACTTGAGAAAAAAAATAAATTGGTTATAATATAGCTCCTGTAATTTAGCACACACATATAAGGAATTCATAAGTGTTCCCCCTTTCCTCTGAAAGTATGCTAATTATATTATGCAAATACTACCTATATTATTCACTTATCATGCACCTTTTTTTTTGTAGGGGCCCCACATTTATGGAACATCTTTCCAAAGGAAGCATTTTTGTCTCCTTCCCTTTTGCTCTTAAGTTGTCTTTAAAGAACTTTTTATCAAAAACCTGAGATGAATTTGATGTCATTTCTTCTACTTTGAATGGTAAAATGATTTTTCTTATTGAAATTGTTGTATGGTACCTTTTAAAACTGAATATTTCCCTACACATATTTTAAAAGTGTTATCATATTAATTACAAGCTTCCTGGTTAAAAAACCTTTTGTTGTCAAAGATAGTTTATACGCCTTTAAATAAACAAACAAGCAAATAAAAGACTTGAACCCATTGTCATCAAAGGGGCTGCAACACACTAAAAATGATGACATAGATAATTAAGGGTGCATAAGTGGAGGCCAGTTGGCCATGGGAAAATTCAGAATTCCAGCTCTCATCTTGGAAATCAGTTCCGCACTTGGAGCTGAGACTTCAGATTTGAATTTCCTCCTGTTCCGCTCACAGCCAGCTGCTGTCTATGGCTCCAAGACCACCTTGGAGCAGGTGTTTGGGGGACATTCCCAAGAGGAGGGAAAGACTGAGGCTCCAATGGTACTGTAGTTTGTCCTCCTCATGAGCAGGCAACAAAGGACTTAGATGGTTGGAACCTGCTAAGACCTTCACAGGGTGAAAGAAACACAGTGGTGACCTTCATCTCCCCACCCTTGACAAGATGCCCAAAGTCCTCCAAATTTAGAGGGTTACAGGCATCCCCATTGGGATGCACCCTAAGGCTATCACAATTACCAGAAGAAAGCCCCATTGAAAACAATGGAATCGCTTCTGAGTTGTAAAGTATAGAATTCAACTGTAAATGCCATTATAACATTTAATGACTCAAACATATTTCTTTCCCTTTCTTTTCTTTATTTTTTTAATTTTTTTTCTTCTGTGAGGGACAGAACTGCCCACTATTTGAGGCACCTAGTTTGATTGTAGTATATTAAGGGGTTAAATATAGGTCAGTTGCAGCCAAAAGGTTCATAGTCTGATCAAAGGTTTATTTAGGATATAGAGATTAAGAAGTTTAGAGCAGGAAAGGAGGTTATAAAGTTCAAAAGGAGGTTAAAAAGAGTGGGGGCGGGAGAGTTTCAGCTTGGGAAATAGAAATGGAGATGGCAGAAATTTAACAAGAAATAACCCTTCTGATTAGTTGGAACTGGGGAGACAGGATCATTACTTTAGATAAAAGCCATAGGCAGAGAGAACGGATGGGGAAAGAGGCCAGAGACCTAGAGGAATGAATTTTTTAGAGCTGCTGGAACTGGAGAACTGAACCAAACAACTGAGTTATTGCTTGGATAGACTCAGCTAAAGAAGGGACCTAGTCTGGTTAGGTTAGCTATGTGCATTAACCCTCTTCATTTTATCATTCTGTTACCTGCGTGCATATTCATTCAAATTTAATTGTTTTACCTGTTGACATTTTTCTGCAGGAAAATTTAAACCATGCCACTGGAAATGTTGTGGCAGGTAACCCAAAATGAAATCACATTCCTAACAGCCAAGTCTCAGATTGCCTCAGTTCAACAGAATTTTAGGATGGTTTGGTGGAGGCGAGAGAGACAAACCCCCACAAGCTAAATCAAATCCACTTAGCAGGAGCCAAAAGGCCACACAGGAGGGGAAAATTAGGAAAGGGTATGAGCACCCATATCTTGCCTGTTTTCTCAGCGTTTGGCAGAACTGAGGTGCAAGCTGAAACACAGCAACAATGTACAGGCCAAAGAGGTGCTGGATTCTGAGCACAATGTTGTTGAAATCAAGATGGAATGAACACAAAAAATTGCTCCCCTGTAGTAAACTCTTAAAATTTATAAAACTTTATAACACACCTGCTTTAGGGCCAGTCTAACAACATTTCATGTGAAGGAGGCAAGTTCTAATCAGACTTGCCAGTTACCTGAAGTCCAGATGGTCTTCTTTCAATGTGCTTTATGGTTTATTGTGGTTTATGGTTGTAATATAAACTGCAAATGTGGAACAGTGATCTAATCTGGAACCACACTCTGGGGACGGGGGAGGTTAAAGCCCCAAACGGCTATATTGGGGTCCTGATCAGGCTTCCTGCATCTCTACCCTAGTGTAAAAATGGTGGAGGGGAGAGACATTGCCATTTCTGTTTGGCCCCAAAGCTTCAATTCTATGCATGGTTTCTTAGGAATCAGTTCCATTGATCCCAGCGGAATTGACACCCATCTAAACTTGCGTAACACTGTGCCAACAGCCTTCTGCCCAAGTAAGGACTTACCATTGGTTTGTGTCTGCCAGACAGCATCAGCCATACCCCAGAGAGCAGGTAATATGAAGAAAACAGCCAGCTGATTTGGGTGAGGTTTCCAGAGCAGCAGTGCTACTATACAGCCAAGATTGAGAGCGGCAGCTATTGAATTAAGAACAATTGAGAGAAAACAATAAAAAACTGGCTGTTCAAGAACAAAGAAAACATTCAACCAAGGTGCACCTCATCTATGACTTTGCTTCCAGCAGGGGCCACCCAGGTGAGCCTGGAAGCAAACCAGCAGGCCAACCCAACAAGAAGGACAGGCAGCTCGCAGAGGTGCCCAAGATGGCTTGGAGATGAGCCATGCCTTTTCTTTGGGAGGAAATGCACAGAGGCAGCATGCACCCTCTGCATGAGGGTGATCATATCCTGCAGTTCGAAGTGATGAGGACAAGAGCCTTCCAATCCCCAGTGGTTGCTCAGGACACATTTACAGGGGCAAAGAGAAAGCGGTGAAGGAGTGAGAGCCACTGAAAACCTAAACAGGAAAAGAGCCTACCATGTAGGCCAGAAGTGTCGAGCCACAGACCTGTGGGCCAAATCTAACCTTCCTGAGGCCCCAGTCCAGCCCTCTGGGATTCCCACTGGCCTCATCCCTTCCCACCAACTATTGTGTGGTTTTTCTCTCAATTCTAAAAGGTGGGGATGCATCTCCTAAGGCTTTTATAAGTGGAACAAGAGCTTTAAGCTAAAAGAAGCTGATCTTTTGTCCCTCCCTCCAAGGTTGTAATGACCCCTTCAGAATTTGGCTGCCCTCTGTTCATTGGACTTTTTTCTCTCATGCTCCGTCCTTGCTTAGGAAGCAAGCCAAGTTGAAAGGGAGTCTGTGAACACTCAGGGAACTCCTCTGTTGCTCATGCAGCACAAAGGAGGACCACGTCGTGTACAGCAAAAGGGGGTGCCACTTGAACTGCATTCGTAATGGGCTCGATTCCTGGCAGTGCCTGTGCAAATGCTTCGTGTGCTCAATGCCAAGTTGGCCTCAGGGTGGTGAGAAAGCAGGCCAGAGGCTGGGGGGCCAAGCTGCGGGAATCCAACAGATGCCCACCCCCAAAGCAGGTTCTTCACTCATCTGTACGCTCTCCTATTGCCTTTGGCCCAGCCCCTGAGTGCTTCTCCAAAACTGGATTTGGCCCCTGGCCTGAAACACCCCTGATTTAGGCTGTGATCTTATGCCTACTTCGTGGGCTGATGCTGGATTTTGCCAGTGGCAACACACATTCAGCTGCAGATTGCTCACCTGGGACTCACCATTCTCCCTGTGCCACTGTGAACACCTGCGCTTCAGGGGCACGGGGAAAAAAGTGAACATTGCAAAAATTAAGAGGGAGGATTTTTTAAAAAATGCTTGGCAACCATAGGCAGCTTCTCTGAGATGCCACTGGGGCCCTTTGAAGGGACTGTCTGGGGCTGTCAAAGTGGGGACTGTGAAAGCCAGCTTGACAGTTGGCTTTTGTTATCTGAAGAAGATTAAAAAAGGAAAAGTCATAGTGATCCCAAAACAGCTTGTGGGAAGGGGAGAGAATAGGCAACCTGGGCTTCCCATGGTGCCCCATTGCATACTGGCAAGAGGACTGAGAGGAGAGGAGGGGAAGGGCCCCCAGCCCATGGTGAGACCATTCATTTGGTGAGCTCTCTGTGGGTTGTTCGCATGACTACCAGCCCACAGTGGCTTATTGCCGAGTCACACAAATGCCCTCAATGTCTCTTTCCTTATATCTGTTGTCACAGCTGGACTGCCAACCCTCAGGAGTCATATGCCTGTAAAGTTCAAAGTGCTAGAGCCCTGCTTATAGAATGGCACAGGAGGCTTGCATAGGGATTGGGGCCTACAGAAGAATATGCAGGAGGCTTCCACAGAGATGGCTCCCAGAAGTAACCGTCAAGAAGACTTCGCACAGCACTCCATTTTCTCTCTTTAACAGATTTTTTGAGGTAAAGCAGGAGGCAAAAGAAGCCATATCTAAATCCCCCATAAAATGCCACAATCAAGGCAGTGCAATGGCATAGTAAAAGCCTTGCTCAGAAGTACCCATGGTCCTCACACGCATTGCAGGAGCTTCCCAGTTGACCCTATGAATTGTACTACTCTGACATCAGCCCAGGATAGCACAGTTGGATGCCTGAGGCAAAAGACCAGAGGGCGCCTCACAGTGGGCCTGGCAGACCTCTGTGGAGCCATCTTTTTTCTTCTCTGCTTGCATTGCTGAGGAGGTTTGCTTGCAATTTGACAGGAAATTTGGGTTGCTGACTGGGGATTCGATGTCAGAATTAACATGCTGTACAGCAACTTCACAAATCCCATCTGGCTGCATCAATAGTGCTGCAGAGTTTGGAAATATTTATGAGTTATCAACAGCAATCATCCCTGTTGTGTTTGGAATGATGAAATTATCTATCTAAAACAAGCAGACATATGCCAAGACTTGCTTTTCCAGCTCTCTAGTCACAAGGGGTGAATTCTCAGTGGATCATGTTTGGACCAGCTGCTTATTAAATTGTGCCCCATGCTGCAAAGTACGAACATGTCCAAATTACCATTCCAGATGAGACCGCAACCTTCAGGTCGCCTTTACCTACCCAGTGCAAAGAGAGCTTTCCTGCCAGTGAACTGGGAAATTTTTCCAAACAGCATAGAGGAGAGTGAATTTGCAGCTGAAAAGCAGATCATCACATAACCAACGAAATGTATCCCGAGGGCACAGGTCACATAGGACTGGAGAGAAGTGAAGGAGACACAGACACACAGAATATCATCATCCATGGCAGCAACTATGTTCTTTTGTCTGGGGCCAAAAGCTCAAGGTTTGTTTCAAAGTGTTGGGTGAAAATTCATGAGACCTAGATGTGATCGGCAAGGCTCTTTCCATATCTTGCCACGGAGCCTTGGATTTCATGTGTGCTTGCTATGCAGCTGTAGGGTTGAGGTGAGGGTTTGGCCCTTTGCCACACGTGCTGTCAAATGCAAAAACAGTGGAGAAACCAGAAATGCAGCACACTGAAAACACACTGAACTCATCCATGTGTGTCTCACTGACAGTCTTATGGCCAACTGTACAATGCACTTAAAGAAAGGGACACAGAGAATAGTGGCAAAAGTACAGCTAAGAAGTGCATCCTTTAAGCAGAACTTGAAGGCCTGTTTGCATGCTCAGTTTTCCTGGTATAGCAACATCAAACTCTCCCTCCCTCCCCTTCTCCCTCCCCCTTTCTAGTTGGTCCTCTGAACACTGTATGTGCATATTCCTTCAGGCTATAGCATAGTTCAGGACATATAATACCTGAATCTGATGTGATCACTCTGTCATCACAGGGGTATATAGGAGCACACAAGACTCACCTAAATTTGCAAGCCACTCAGAATTCCTTTGAAAAAGTGCTTTATAAACAAATAAAGCCAAAGCTGGGAGGCAAGGAAATAGCTTTCCTTAGATTGCCTTGCTGCTTAACTTCAGCCCCCTTTTTTCTTGCAGGGAGTGATTTTCTGGCATCTGCGCTGTCTTCTCACTGGCCAGTCCCAACTAGTCCCTTTGAAACTATTGGAGATGTATGGAATTTATAGGGGAATTGCACTCCTAGAGGCACATAATTTTCAAGCAAGTGCATCTGGACTCTTCACATCCTACTGCTGTGGTCTTTGGACTATACTGTGTCTGAGTCATGGCCAACTGCGTCTAAAAAGCCAGACTCTGCTCTGATTCTGTAGGCTTCTGATATGGATTCTGGTTAGGATTGCAATGATCCCATGGAATCCGGACCTCTCCTGTTCATTGGACTTCTTTCTCATGTAGGCTCTGGCTTAGGAAGCAAGCCAAGCTGAGAGGAAGTCCACAATCGCTGGCAGAACTTCTGTTGCACAACTTGGCATCCTTCCTCCAAAGCACATGCAGCACAAAGGCTGCAAGTCATATGCGTGGAAGAGATGCTTCTGGCAAAGCATTCATGCGGGCTTGATTCATGGTGGGAGCCTCTGTGAGCACGTGCTGTACTTGGCCAAGTGGAACTGTAGGAAACAAGCAAGCAGGTCAGAGTCTGGAAAGCTGAGCTGTGGGGTATCTGGCAGATTCCTCACACATTCCTAGTTCTGGGGCCCAGTTGCCTAAGGCAATGACCTGTGGGAGAAAGTGGGATTCAGACACCACTAGTTTAAGGATTCTAAAAACTGTTTTCCTGCCCTATCAGCTTCCCACAGATAGTTATTTTTAAGCAAAAAATTAAAAGAGGGAGCATTCAAACATGCAACCCCCACCTACAGTCCGAAGTGTCACCAACCAGGAATGGAGGTCAGCCAATCAAAAGCAGAGTGTCTGCTTGTCCTTTGGTGACAAAGCCTTGCAAAGATTGCTACATTTTAAGACATATAAATGCCTTACACTACATAGCCATATCAGAAAGTGTGATATGAACAGCTATGTACATGTTCCTGAAAAAGATCCATGTATTGTAAATCAAATGCATTAGACTATGCATTTCCTGGAACTTGCTAAAGATGCAAACTATTTCTATTTCATGTCTTTAGTCCCTCATATGACTTGTTCCACTTCATATTGGGAAAGTGACCCAGAGTCAAGTCCATTTTTTTAAAAAGTGGGACAAATTCACAAGAAAGTATCGCAGAAGCCCAATGAACATCTTTTATTTACTGAGTCACCAAGCAGATGAGCTAGCAACTGCTTCACTTGCGTTCTTACCTTGGTATAGTCACCAGCAAGGAATCCTTGTTCAAATCCACTATACATGGTCAGAGGAATCAGGAGACACTGGCGTTTATCTTTAAGATGTTGGAATGTTGCCAAGAAAGTGGACCAAAAGGAAGGTGTTTTCTGGACTTCGTCCTGTGGTTCATTGACCCTGATCTGATCCAGAAATATAATGATGATGCACACAGCTAGGACCCCACTAGCTGAAGAATTAAAGGATGCATCAGAATGAAAAGGGAGTAAAAAAAAGAAAGAAAGAAAGGTCCAGTAATGTATTGATTTATAATCAGAGCAGAGTTGTAGGCCAAGAGAGTTTAAGCCCAAAGCTTTTAGGCTAATGACATGCCCAGTTTGTTTTTCTCAGCTGCGATATTTATGTTATGACAGCTGAATCCACTGTGCTGCTGCTGCTGCAGCAGAAGAAGGGATTTCTTACTCTTCCAGGTCAGGTCAGAGGTTGTGCAGAGATCCGCATGGATGCACTGTCTTTGCATCTGTCACCATAGCCTCTGGATGAATTTGTTTTCTGAGTCCTGGCTTCATGTTTTAGTGACAGTCTTTTCCAAAATATTTATGAAGAGGGAAATCACAACACTGGACTGGAATGCTTTGCTTTGTTACATTAATTTCATAAAGCATGTCAAGCCACACATAGGCCAATGGTCTCTATCTCTATCATAGTGTAGAAACCCATGTCCACAAATAGGCAAAATTTGATGGATTTTCTCATTTGGATGCTCACATTTTGATTGAGACATTTTTCATTCAAAGTCTAAATTAACATTTTTAAACATGAGATGTTGACCCCAATATTTGAACTTGAAGGTTTTAGACTTGTTGAGATCTTCTGATAGTTATGATTTTGGCAGGTGGCCTCTAGCTATCATAGGCCGGGCAGAACTTTTTCCTGGCAATACTAAATACTGCTCCATGCTGTTTATTCAATGCTATACAATCTTCAAGGCACTGCATGTTATCAAATATATTCAACCAGATAGCATGCCAGCCATCAAATACTGTTTCATACTAGTGCTTTTCAAATTGTCTTTCAGGGAACAAAACTGTTCAGTGACTGGTGGCCAGCACTGCAAGAAATACACCTTGCCTACCACTATTATTCTTTCTTTGCAATGAAAATTCAAGGACAATGTTGGGTGAGCTCTAGGGACACACACCCTCTCAGGAGCTGGCTGGGGCAAACTGAAGTTGAAGAACATTTTCTGTATAAATATGCCTAAGATCATACTATGGATTGGAAAAATGAGAAATGGAGAGAAACCAAAGCTGCCAGATCCATCTATCTCTACCCAGCCCTACTTAGCCTTTGTAGTATGTTTTTATTTAAATAAAAAAATTTCAACCTACTTAGCCTCAGCAAGATGGCTGCATCACATGCTTCCTGAGCATGCTTTAGTATATTCTATATTTCATGTATATACCTATTCCTGTGTGTGAGACAAATGATCCATAGGAACATCTACCTGTATAGATTCCCAGTAGAGTATAGATCAATGTATCAGTTGATCCTGTTGAAGTCTCAGATTTGTTCATAGCATTTGTTGTCATGCAGTCCTTTGCACCACAGCAGGCCAGGTCTGCTTCTGAGATTTCCACTAGTCCATTAAAAAAGAAAACCCATGCAACAAAGGAACTTGTTAGCAGTCAAAATACAGGTCAAAATTGGGATTGTAAATAACAAGTGGAATGATTTGCATTCTAAAGAACAATGCATTTCCTTAGAATCTTATCAGGATTCTCTCCATCAATGAGAGCTAAAATGCCTGAAAGGCACATCCTGGAATTTATCCCAAATGCCTTTTCATGCTCAGGGATCACATGGCACATGTACTGGGTTCCTTGGTGTACAAATCGGTGTACAAACCATCCTGTGAATGCTGGAAGAAGTATACCCTTTCTCTGATCACAGAGCCAGGGTGGGCAACTTGTGAACCTCCAAATGTTTCGGCCTGCTACTCCCACTGGGCCTTGCCAGAGTGGCCAGGGATGAGAGCACGATCGGCATTGTAGGCCAAACCATCTGGAGAACCACAGGTTGTCTAACAGTAGCACAGAGGATGAATTGGTACGTACCCTACTGTGCACTCTGGCACTGCAAACAACATTTCTGTGCAAATGATCATGTATGTCCCAAAGCCATATAGACTCCACCTATCAGCTGGTAAGCATAAGAATGTGAAGGCTGCTTTGGTATAAAGGGATACCTCTTGCCTTTTCCGAGCATTGCTCTCTCACAGGAGGTCAAGTATGCCCTTGAGCCCTGGCCAGATATTATGATCCCATTCAAGAGAGCCAGCAACATTTCCTTTCAGTCTGGTCAGCCACGGGAGTCTAATCCACCAACAGCAATTTATTGTTAAGTTGTTGAACCGCTATTTTAATTGGTTGCAGGGATGCACTGTATAGTGCTAATCTGTCCCCAGAGAGCTTGCTTTTATTGTTATGCTTGGATTTTCTTTTAAATGGCCTAATAATTCCACCTGGCCTGAGTTAACAAGTGCAGTTCATCGAATCCTTTAACACCTCTGCTGAACACAACACAACACAGTCAAAATAAAAATAAATCCATAGATGAAATTATCGCAAGACTAATGGATAGCAATTCTGTAACGTAAAGTCAGTGTACGTCTCATACTGGCCTTTAATGTGAGTAGTGTGTGGTGACTGCAGGTGCGCCCTAAAGGTCAGGAAGATTTGGGAAGCCTAAAGGCCTGAGAGAGGTGTGGAGAGGAGGAATCATCATTAAGGGGCAGACTGTAAGAATAGTCATGGAAAGGCCCGTACTGTCTAATCAGGAGCTGTCAAAGAAACCTCTCTAGTTTTCCTAATCTGGAGCATTGCCTTCTATAGAAAACACTTACTGGCTGAGATGGTGGGGAAGGCCACAAAGTAGGCCTGGCCCAAGACATTTTGCTCTGAGGCAAATGGTTGGGGTTAGGGCAAGAAGGTCCATACCTTCCTCCATTTTATGTATGGGAGCCAACTGGAGAGGCAGTTGGATCTAACTTCAATGATGGCAGTAGATTGCACCTGGGGTGGCAGGTTAGTTTAGGGGGCCTGGGGCCAGCCATGTGGCACACACAGCTCTGTCCTCAACCCCTCACCACTCTTCCTGCTCGCAGGAGCTGTTGTCTGAAGCAGTGGCCACAGGCTGTCTCATAATACAGCTGGCCTTGCTACGAAGGCACCAACACACTTTTAAACACACATTTCTGCAACCAGAATCTTCATCGCTACTTTAGTTAAATAAATGAGCCTATTCCTAGCCTCTGATCATCTTTTGAATGCCTTCTGCTGCCTCAGCCTCCAGAGTAGGAGTGGACAACTCTGAAAGGATTGGAGCCAAATTTTGCGCCCTGAAACCAGTGGGGTCTCACACACCCCTCTGCCAAAATCACCACCAGCAGATTGAGGCAGGAGTTTGGCAGCAATTTGCTGGTAAGAAAAATGCTACATTTTCCCTTTATGAAAAGGTGTGCACATGTTATATTTTACTCGAACAGTTGCACTCCCCAAAGTCCTAGGGAGCAGTGTAATGATTTTATATTAAAACAAGGCATATGGAATCACAGAATAGTAGAGTTGGAAGGGGGCAGGAAGTCATCAGGTCCAACCCTTGCTAAGTGAAGGACACTGAATTTAAACCATCCCTCTCGGGTAGCTGTCCAGAGGATATGATCTCAATGCGACTTGTTCTAAAGGAAAATGTCCTTTTTTCATTGCCCCATTGAAATTTGGTGGCCACTTGGGAGTAGCAGGAGCCTTAAAAAAGGGTTGGGAACGTTTGTGGCCAATCCCAGCTGTGCCTAAGAGAGAAGAGACTGGTGTGGACCTGGCGCAGAGGACTTTGTGTATCAGCATCCTGGTTGTGGAACTCCCCCTGCAGGGAGATTAGGTGAACGCCCTCACCATTGGCATTTCAATGGTTGGTTAAAACAAAGTCCTTTTGCTGAGCATTCAGTGATTAATGCTACTTCCTGGTCCTTAGGGTGTTCAGTTGCTCAGCTGTGAAGTATTGTTTTATCTACCTTGTTTTAGTTTGTGTGTGTTTCATTTTTGTATTTTTGTTTTGCATTTGTGGACTCATAACTGGAGGGGAAGGGATGCAGGTGGCGCAGTGGTTTAAACCACTTTAAACAGTTTTAATAACTGGAGGGGTTATTAAAATATATATTAAATGAATAAACCATGCTGATCAACAATGCCAGAAATGATGTAATGTTTGGCATCTTTTGTTCTTCCAAGCTTGGGTGTTGAGGCAAGCCATTTGGAGCTGATCCCAGGATAGCTCTTCCTTACTGCCAAAGAGGAAGACAGAGCTCCCCTACTTGAGTTGCTGAACAAGGAGTTGCCCACCCCATTAGGTGGCTTCTGTATACTACAAAAAGGAGTATGATTGCTCGAAGGAACACTGGAAGCCATCAGACACTGAATCAGACCATTGGGCCTTCTAGCGCAGTAATGTCAACCCAGACTGGGGATGGTTTTCCAGGGTTTCAGACAGAAGTTTTCCAGCCCTTCCTGGCGACTTTGGGCATTTCTTTCATGAAATGTCTAAGCTCTACCATTAAGCTGTGGCCCTTCACTAAGGAATGCGAAGAAGTTCCTCACTGCTTATGGAGCAGCTAGAACAGTGGCTCCTCTGATCCAGAAATTGGAAGATTCTCAATTCAATGAAACATCAGCTAAGCTTCCAGAAAAACATTTCCCTTTCTTGTTAGTTAATTGCAAATACACAATCCTTATATTTTGCTGCAGTATATATTTATTTATAGATTTACCTTTGTTTGGTGCTTGATCAAATACCAGCGATGATATAAGATTGCCCCAGACTCCAGAGGACTGGAATATCAGAAAGAAGATTCCAAAATACTGGTTGATAACATCGCTCCCAATTTTCCCTGCTTTTTCAGCATATAAGTTGCCAGCAATGGTGAGATATGTACACTTGGCTGACCAGAGCGGTGCTCCTCCCAGACCAAGGATCGCGGATGTGGGGACCAGGGTGTACCTGCCAAAAATATATTATTACGTTACCTATTTCAATAAATCCTGGGAGAGAGGCCAAAGATAGCCCCTTAAGTCACTAAAATGAGAGGAATTGTTTGTGTTTTTTTTACATAACGCAGAGATATTTTAAAAAACCATCTTATGGTAAGTTCTGCAAGAAACTTAAGTGGCGCCCCATCTGTGGAATGCGCTCCCCAGAGAGGTCCGCCTGGCACCGTCATTATTTGTTTTTCGGCACCAGGCCAAGACCTTTTTATTCAAACAGTATTTTAATAATGTTTAATATTTATAGATTTTAATTGTGCAGCCAGTGTGCTTCCGGGTTTTAATTGTAACTGTTATTATGTTGTATTTATTTATTTCTGTAAGCCATCCTGAGGCTATGTTGCAAGGGAATGACATATAAAAACTTTAAATAAATAAATAAATGTGTAAGAAGTTCATTTCCAACACACATTTGGCTCCTGCCCCCTCCCCCTTAGTGATGCTCAACATTCATATTGAACTAAAGCCAGATATGTGGAGATCTACCATCTTATCAGTAAGACATATTTTAAAATGTTGATCTAGTGAGCAGGTCATGGCTATGCACTTGGTTTAATGCAAAATATGTGAAGAAAAGTGTGAAGTAACTGCCCCATGAAATTCACAACAACATTGTGAAGGTGGGGGAAAGGTATGATGAATGAGTACAAGCAAGCATGGATTGCTAGAAGAAAGCACTCAGAGTACCTGAAAAACGTTTCATGTACATAATGTACTAACAAAACACTATAGGAGTTCTAGAGAACAACAGAATGCGAGCCAGCCAAGATGGGACATGGTGGGGGTCCTTTAATGTCTTTAGAAGAGTTCTCATGAAGGGGTTCTTGGGACCATTTGTCTTGCCTTGCCTCTGCATGTCATCCCCCTCCTTTTGTGAGGAACATCAGGAAGATTTCCATGATAATGATTTGGCAGGGACCCTCCTGAGTGAAGAGGCTTTCTGTGCACCAAAATATCCACCAGATGTTCCTCAGAAAGGAAGAGAGAGTGGGTGATTCTGCAGAGGGCAGGGATAGCATGTGAAACCACAGGGCCCCTTCTTTCTCTCAAAGAATAGTGGGGTCATGAGTACCCCTTTTTTTCTTCTCCAAAAGCTGAATGTAGGAGTGGGGCTGTGTGATTTGGATCAGACCATCACAAGGGGGAAGTAGTTATAACGCTCCACCTACTATGCCAGTTCTTAACCATAAGTCACGCCCCTAGCCCTGGAAGAGAAAATATATGGACAAAAAGAGTTCCTGTGTGGCTTTTCTTCCCCAAAACTATGGGTTAGGCCAGTGATGTGCCTACTCTGGATGGAATGATCTCGCTCTTAGAAGATGTTAGGAAAACCCTCCACCCTTCATCACTGCTCAGCCCATTCAGCAGGATCTACTGACCCTCCCATTAGCATTTTCAGGGGACTGAGGGGTTGCTTTGTGGAGGAGGGAAAGGGGAATCCCTTCTGCTAACCCAGCTACATACACCTACATCTGGATCGCGCCCTCTGTGTTTCTGTGATTAGCATTAGGAAATCAGCATGGTGGTGGCAAAGGGTTACTGTCTTCTCTCACCCTCATCCAGCAGCTGTTTTGTTTTGTTTTTTAAATAAGAAAAGGATTTTGGAAGCTCCAGTTCTGCATCACTCACATTACATCCAGTTTGGACCCAACTTCCATCATCAAGAATCTTCATAACTGGGGTAGGTAATGAAGCTCAGTATTTAAAGAGCTACTTGCTTATTGGCTGTGCCAGAGTGCCACTATTCCTTTTCATTACATGACCCCAAGACATCTTTATTGTTTTTGTAGTGAGTGGAGTCTGATGGAAATGAAGGTGACAGGATAACAAAACATTAGATGAACCCCTTCCTTTGAAGCTTAACTATACTTAAACATCAGTCATCAGATGCTGTATTTACTGGCCTTTGCTTGATTTATGTTGGCTCAGGGGCTTGTTTACTAAAGGAGGAGACGCTAGTGATCACCTAGGCTACAAAGGCAGCAGCTATACACAAACCCAGCTTAAATAATATGCTGCACATTAGATCTGTTTGTTTATTCTACTTGCTCATTCTCTTCAAGGTTGTCCAGCAAAAAAGCTGGCTGTACTTATCGGTTTCATTCTGCTGACAAATACTTCCTTGACATGTAAAGGTGCGCCTGCGACGCCAAACAAAACAAAAGCAAACTCATACAGCCCCATCAGAGGAAATTGTGATAACCTACACAATGCCCTTAAGCAAAAGCTGTGAGTTGAAGAACATCAAACTGTGGAGAGAATTCTGAAGTCCAAACTTCCTGCATACATTCATTGGACACCATCTATTTTCCTATTGTGCCAAACCAAAACATATTAAGGCCCATGAATCTCAGCAATGTTAGGTGGATGAGGGGAACTGGGCAAGAAGGACAGAAAATTCATAAAATTGCTCAGTACTCCTCTGCTCCTCTCTTCTCGTAACTCAATGGGCAAGGTCAGCTTTGGGCACAAGGGATACTTGCAGACAAGACTTTTATTGTGGTAGGAGAAGCAATGAAAGAAGTGGTGGGCAAACATAAATGGAGGTTTATGAATGGAAGACAATCATGTCTACACAGGACTCACTGGTTATGTCACAGTAAAAGCCTTCTAAAGACACTCTGTGACTCAAGAAGCAGGTTCTTAATTAATTCATTCATAATTAATGAATTAAACTAATTGGCTGCATGACCTGGATGGGACTCAAAGGAAGTCTGTTGGATTGTAAAGCTGGGTCAAAGAATGACTTGAGTGATGAGGTATGAGAGGGTATTGTTCAATGTCAAAAGTGTAATAAGTTTCTGCTTATCAATTAATGAGCAACAAATATTGGATTGGATCCAAGTAGCAAATGGGCCTGCTGCAATGGAATGTTGGGAGTTGTATGATGTTTTCACTCTAAACATGCATAGGATTGTGTCCTTAGGTTTTATTAACACATTTTGAAAGAGCTGCCTCCTCTAGCATATGTTTCAGAATTGACATTACCTTGTCCGATATATGTTTAAACGGCTGCTCTGTGTTTTCTTTTTCCTGTAGAAATACTTATTAACAATGGGATTATTAAGACTGTGAGCCTAATTTATGAACTTAATACTAGCTATGAGATAATCTCTACAGGAACAATAAATACATTATGGTTTTTGAAGGAAGTAACTTTCACCATCTAGAGCCTCACCAGGTATGTGTACCTGCCAGGTGAACAGTTCAGAGCTGAATGGGACTTTTAGTGCTTGGATGAAAGCTCTCTAATGGCATTGTAATCCCATGCACACATATTTGGGAGTAAGTCCCATTAAAAATAGATGTGAGTGCATAGAATTGCTCAGATTACTAGCATAAGAAGTCTTTGATAGCAAAACATTTTTACAGGAAATATTATGATATAATCATCTTTAGCAATGCCACTTTCTTAAGGTGCAGTCCCATGTCCATGCTATTAATGCGTATAAGCTTCTGAAATTACCATTGGAGAGGAGGAGGGAAAGAGACTTGGGACACCAGCAGGAATCAGCATGAATCCACAGCCCCATCCTCCCCCTCTCTGCCCCCAAGCATAACTGTTTTCCCCCTCAGGGTGGGGGCAACCAGCACTCTTCTTTCCACACAGGCTATGAGGGGGCGGCCCCCTTTTAGAGTGCCAACTCTAAGATTGCAGGAGCTCAAAACTGGGACTCCAATGACCCCCACCCTGATTATGTAATGGATGCTATATCTTGTGTTTTGATATTCTGCTTTGACACTTTATTTAAATACAGAAATACAAATTGCATCTAAAGATGTTTCTCTTACCAATTCTTGCCAGTATCTAACTGCTTGAACCAATTTTTGACTTTATTTGAAATGTATTAATTATACTTAGTTAGCTGGTAGCCAAAGGCTATGGAGAACCTTAGAGTGAAAAAATTCACCGCTGTCCAATGTCCTTAAAATGTGTTCTGCTCTAGCTGGCCACCTCTGGTTTAAATCCCCAAATCCCAAACTGACTCTCAGTCTTATGTTTTGTAAGACCATCCTGCAAATATATGTCAGTCCTGTTTGATAGGTAATTGAACATTTTCATATTGGATTTTTTATAGTGGTGGGGCCAAGGTTGCAGGTGTATTAGAGTCCCAAAATACATTGCAAATCTCATAGGAAGTGGGTGATCGGCATTACCAGCTGGCATAGAAGTTGCCCAAAGAGTATGCAACATAGCAGCACATGGAGCCCGCAATGGTCCACTTGCATCCAAACTTCTTAATGAGGATTGATGGGAGAAACATGGAGGACAAGATAAGAGCTGCATAAATTATGCTTAGAGAGGCGACACCCAGGCCTTCTTCAGAATGGAGACTGCTCTGCAGAGACAAAATGCAATGGATGCAAATGATAGAGGACTTGGATGGATGGATGGATGGAGACATGAGACAAGGAACAGTAAAGTCCTGAAGGCAAGCATCCCTCTTTGGCCACAAGAGGCATTAAGGGGAGTCACCTAGTTTATTGGAGCCCCTGGAAGTTCTCTGCCTGTTGCTGTGCAGCTATCCAAGCTTGGAAGGGAGCGAAGAGACTCTGCTGGAGCCATTAGGAAAGCTTGGCCCTCTTCTGTCCCTAGGCTGCAAGCACTCCCTTTCCCACCAATTGGCAATGGCAAGTAGAGGTATAACACATTCTCATTAAGATGGTCTGCTAGATTTTGAAGGATTTCCCCCAGCCCATCTCAGACCAACCATCCAAATATTCCTAAAAGAGAACAGGAAGCCTCCTTCCTCTTTCTTAGAGTTGCCTAGTCTGTCACAAATCTGCAGGCAGTGTAATATTTCTGTCTTTTATCTTATGGCTACATTTTTTTTCGCATACCCCTATTGTCCTGGTTTGTACCCTTTGGGGTGTGTGTACCTCAGGTTGGGAATCACTGTATTAGAACAATATCAGAACTTAGGGATGCCCACCTAAAGATTGGCTGTCGATTCAGAACAGACAAAAGAAAGTACTTCTTCACACAATGGATAATAGCTATGGAATTGTCTGCCTTGAAAGGCATGATGGCTGCTAACCTAGTTTTAAGAAAGGGCGGGACAAAAGCATGGCTGTTAGCCAAGTTGATCTCTATATAAGTGGCAGCCCACCACTGAAGACTAGCCAGTTCCCTTCTTGTGATTACAGAGGCAACTGGGTAGCCAGAATGGGAAGAAATTGAATGCTGGCATGGTTGGACTTCTGGCCTGATCCTGAAGAGCTCTTACGGCCTTATGATATTTAAGTCTGTCTTCCATTATGAATCCACCTACACCTAAGCCTTCTTGTCTCCAGCCTCAAAAGTGTTGACCTACAATTCTCAGTGTCCCCTAGCCAGCCATATTGGGATGCTGGGAGTTAGTTCAAAATATCTAGAGGGTGCCAACTGGGGGAAGCTGTTAGATCCCCATGTATCTTCTTCTAGAAGGTACATTCCATTTGCCATTGTTATAACACATATCATAAGGACAGGCTAACATTTGGGAAGCATCCCAGTAAAGTCCACTTACCTGGAGGCTCTGGAGCCCTCCATATGCAGTAAATAGAAATAAGAATCCAAATGAAATAACAAGAATATTCTTCAGATATTTTTCCATGCTTGGGTCCCACAAGATAACAATCCAACAGATGGCCGCATTCAATGAATCATTCAAGATGGAGTCAGGCCAGGGAAGGAGAAGCAATGGCAGCCCGGTCCTGGCTTTGCTTCATCTGTAATGCAGAGGAGTCTTGCTTGGGAATCTGCAAATGAACTTTACCTTCTTCAATACTGAAGACACCACAAAAACCTGTTACTTATTCACTTGTTTTGAAGTATGTGTAGGGCTCCAAAGATCACACATTGCATAAATTTCTTCCAAGTGTGAGGCTATTTTGCATGCTACTTCTTTACAAAGATAACATGTCTCCTGCTGTAAGGAAGAATACACAGGTAGGATGGGGTTAGAGGTTAGCCTTACAGAGTGATCAGTATGGTGTCATTCAGAAAGCTGCATAACAGGGTTGCTATTACAGGAATCACGGCACTTCTTAACATGCAAGAAACTTGATAACTGGGAAACATGAGACTGTCTTCTAGGTAACAACCACTATTAAATCACTGCATGTCAAAATAAGGATGCATGGTAGACTGAAGGCTCTTTCTCCAGTTCAACCAGACACTGGAGAATGTAGTATGTCGATACTTTTAAAGTCTAGTCTATGTTAAGCACTGTGCTGCTTTAGAGGCACTTTGGCTGAGTGGTATCTCAGTATATTTCCCTTTCCTTTTTGTCTTAGAGCTCTATGTGGATTTGAGTTCTGAAATAAAAACTTTCATTGTATTTATTTTATTTAACTTATTCGTTATATTTTTAATCTGCCCAATAATCAATGTTCTCTGGGCAGATTACAAATGGTTAAAGGACTAAAATGCTATACAGACAGTGAAAAATATAAAACATAATGCAAATACTTAAAATAATACAGTGCAGTACAGTACAATACAGTATAATGCAAAAATTTCCACATGAAAAGTGCCACACTTTCAGTATTTATGTAGTTAAATTCCATTGTAACTCCAGCTCTCAGAGAGAGGAAAGGTTTGTAAAAAAAATGGGATCAAACAGTAATGGAATAAATACATCAGAATAAAATAGCAGCACAGCACCTAAGATTTTATTAACTTTTTGCCCCATTGTTTCCTAGGGATCGGGGAGAAATTCACTCAGTTTGCATTTTAATGTGAACATCCCTAATCTGGCACTTTCAGACTACTATGCAAACAAAAACTGAGAAAGTTGTGCTTCTCTGAATGAAATTCAGAAATCAAAAATGTATACAAAAATTCATATATAAGGAGAAATAACCATAGGCATGCATTATATATTATACAAAAATAAACACTAGGGGAAATGCGCTTGTATCAGCTTAAAAATCACAACCTTAACGTTCACAATGAACCGAGTTTCTTCAGACTGAAGAAATTCTTCAAGCTGGAGACAAACTTCAGACTTTTCAAAATTGAGAATCCCAGCGAAACTGAAATTGACAGATTGGTCCATCCCGATGGCTTACAGGCATCCCTCGATCCCTTGTAAACATGCATGTATTACTTGCCAACTAGGCTGTCAATGCTTATGCAACAATCACATTAATGCACCGCTGAACCCTGTTTTTGCTCCAGGCAGAAGTATGGCTGTCCCTCTAGAATGCCTAGCAATGGGGGAAGATGGGTTGGCCATGGAAAGTCCTACGAAGCAAGCCCTTGAACCAGCCACCAGAGGGCAGCACAGCATCTCCATTCCAGTGTGCAAGGGGTGGATGGAAAAGACAGTAGATCGAAATTCCAGGATCTGAGGCAACAGCATGAGGCAGGATTCTGGAGTTCTCTTTGGTTATACTTACACACTTTAGACAAAAAAGGAAGTTTTACTGCTTAAAGAAATACATGGTGGCTTCAGTCAAGCTTCTTTTCTGCTACTGGGAGCACTCCCTGAGTAGATTGATTGGGCAGGTGGAAGGGAGGAGAGGTGCTATTCATAGATTCTCTTCCTCTCTGCAACTCTTTGGGTCACATTCCTCAATGTTCCAGAGAGCAGTGCAACCTTCTGGAGCAGATTTTCAAGGAGGAGGATAGGGGACTGCAAGAGACTAATGATGACCACGACCTCCTCCATCCTGCCCATGGCATTCCTTCTCCAGATCAGAAGCTCCCTGTGGATGGAAGAAGCCCCATTCCAGAGGGCACTGCAAGGAAGCAGAAGGCAAAATTTTGATCCAACCAGTAGCTTGTTCGATGTTTCTCTGTCCCATCTCCAATTCCAAGGAGATTGCAAAGAAGCTAAAAGGATTCCTATGTCTTTCTTCACTGGAGAAGATGTAGGACAGAGACCTGACTCTGAACTGCTGTTCTCAGGAGGGAAGCCAGCACTACTGAGGCCAGTAGTGGTGACAAGAATTGAAGGCCTAGATCTTATTGACAAATTGAAAATGAATTAATCACTAGGTGCAGAATGTTCTTAAAGAGCTCAAATGTGAAACTGCAGTCTTCTAACAAAAATATACAGCATGTCCCTAAGATCAACATCTGTACCAAAGGACTGGAAATGAACAGTGGAAAACCTTTAACAAACAGTATCTAAGAAGGATACAGCAAATTTCATACCTGTTTAGCACAAAATCTGATCTAGATAAATTGGTAGGAAGTGCTATTGAAAATAAAAATATCAAGTATATGGAAGGGTGAGTCTTGTTGAAAAAGAATCAATATGGCTTCTGTAAATCTTCTCCTAGGGCCTATGTCTAACTTCACTAATTTTTGAAGTGCCTTGGGAGTGTGAAGAGGGATGCAAAGAAGGAAGATTTGATAGATACTGTTTACTTGGACTTTAAAAAAAAAGTCATTGAAAACTCCTAAGGAAATTTAGCAGTTATGGGATAAGAGGGATCTTCTCATAGACTGGTAAAGAACAGAGAGCAGAGAGCATGAGGAAATTGTCTGTTCTCCCAACACAGAAAAGATGCATTTTAAAATAAGTGATCTGGAGTTCTTGCTGAGCAGTAAAGTGACCAGACTCACAGATGTAATCAAATTATTTGGGGTGACGATTCTAAAGAGTTCTAGAAAGATCTCTCCAAACTGGGGGAATGTATATTCAAATGTTAAATGCATTTTAGTGAAGCAAGGGTAAAATGATGCACAGTGAGTCTAAATAAATCCCAAGTTCACATATATGGTGATAGGGGTCTAAGCTGGTGCATCTTGGAATTGTGGTAGATCACTAAATAAAAAGTGACATGAAGTGCAAAGGCTGTGAAAAAGGCAAATTCCATGCTGGGGACCATTAGAAATGGAAATGAAAATAAAAGTCCCAATAACACCTTTATACAAATCTAAGGTGCAACCCACTTGGAATATATGTATAGAATATACTATAGAATTGGAAAAGTGAAGAAAAGTGCAACCAGAAGGATCAAAGAGCTAAGCAACTCTTCTGTCACAAAAGATTTCAATGCTGGGAGAAGGGGATTTGAATGGGCATAACAGAGGTTTCCAAATTATGTGTGGTGTAGAAAAAGTAGATCGGAAGATGTTTTTCTTCTTTCATAATACTAGAACCTGGGCCCATCCATGAATGCAAAGATTGAAAATGTGAAGCACAGCCCTTTTCCAACTCTCATCAGTTCTCCAAATACCCAAACATCTTGAAAGTAGTTCCTCAAACTGCCACAAATTGCTGACTATCTTTTTTCCAGAAAGTCATGATGCAGGACAGACTTAAGGGAGATGGCATTAGATTACATTTCAGCTTGTGATCAAGTCAGGAATAGCTTGTGGAGAACAATTCTCGGAGGTGTGCTACGTGTCTGACCCTTTGGGCTGATATTAGCAGAGTGAATCACTTTATGCTCAGGAAATACTGCAAACGCATGCCGTAGAATTCCCCCATGCAAATTCAGTTAGAATCTCATGTTCTTCAGGGCTCCCAAGCATATCAAACATTGACACTCATTACGAAGGCATGTTGGTTAACTCATCTGACAGCAGCCCGGCCTGTTCCATATCACTAGCTCAATGATGGCATTTTCCGATTGCCTGTGAGCTGGTCCCATTCTAAGGAATGCATTGCATCTTTACCACAGACATCTGATAACTCCAAAGTGCTTTTTATTTTGTACCAAGCTGTGAACATATCCTATAGGCCTGCTATGTATCAGCCTTGACAACCTTTCATTCTTTCTGTCAGGGCACCTAAGATTAAGTTGTCTTCCAGGAACCAACTGGCTTTGTGTTTCAGTCTCAGGTCTCAGATATACAGGGAATTCCAAAAATGTCCATTTAAAAGCTCCCAGTCTCAGGCATCAGAGAATGAAGAGGCCAGAGAGATTAATCTTCCCATCCCTCAAATCAAGGAACTTCATCTTAGATTTACAGCAAACAGTTATCACACAACTATAATTGAGTCCCAATTCTCCCCAAGGTTCAGTTTTTCTTCCACTATACTCATATTTGGATTTTGAGCACAATCTTTCATGCAATAGTTCTAATGGCAGATTATTCAGTTGCAATAAAGTTTGTACAAGACTATTTTCTGGTGGATTATGGCCCTTGCCCCAAACTAGGATACTGTGCAGTTGTACTGGCAGCAGTGTTTTTCCAAAATACTGACCACTGGATCTGTGTACCAGCTCTAAGATCTGATTTGCATCTGTGGTCCATGCAGGAGGAAGGGTGGCTGAAGGAGAACCGATTTCCTGACTCACTAACCTGATCTCTGGCTGCTCTCGCTGCAATAGTCCTTGCCACATGCCACCTTCATGCTTCTTAAGATGTGCATGTTGAGGTGGGAAAATGGCTGCTGTGGATAAACAAAGGCTATGAAGGAAAATCTTCATCTGTGCCTGCACATGGCTTGGCTGTCTATATGATTCCATGCAAAACAAAAGCTCAGAGCAAACCATATTGTAAGATTAAAAAGCTGAATGTCTATTAACAATCAAACAGAGAATAATTGGTCTGAAAAGATTCCTTTTTAAAAGTAACCTCAAATGACAATTTACAGTCAAAGATTTGCCAAAAGATTATGCAGCAGTTCAAACTTAAAGACTTGCTAGC